GAAAGTGACATCATCAAAAAAGAGTTTTATTACCATCGATATTTACGTCAGCCCTGCTCAAACCGGTTCAGTTGTAGCAATTCTCCTGCATAATTATCTTAATACACTTCTTGTTTAGGCTTCCTCTCCCTTTTGGTTTCTCCACTTCTTTGCTCTGTTTGAAACATTTGAGGCTTCCTCACCTCGGTCTGGTTCTGGCTGACATTAACGCAGCCTGCAATTTAGACACATTTTCAGTTTTTGGATGGATTGATGTAAACATAAAAAATTAAAGCTACACTTTGGAGTCAAACTGCTGAGAGATGCCAGCTGGGGCAAATGAAGGTATTTGATACATCTGTTTTTAATACACAACTGTCCACTGTGTTCTCTTCCCAAGGTTGAATTTCTACTCAAAGTTAAGCACACAGGGGATAACTACCATCTGCTTAAAACTGACCAGTTAGGATTTATGAACAGCAAACACAGACCTACCTATTTCTGACATCATCTCTGTTTGGTTACACAGCTTTTGTAAGGATTGTAATAGCTTGAGGTCATTTTCTTGTTTAAAATTATAGTCTGTATTAAATTCCTGCTCTGTGCTCCATTCCCCTTTGCACTTGCTTTATAATGCGAGCATCCCTGTGTTTACTTTGAGACACGCTCTCAGGCTTCTGCCTATCTTCCAGTGGACTTGACAGCTCTGCAGCTCTTGATGCAGATTTTCTGAGCACTGGCTCCGTGCACCGGCTCGCACAAACACTTCACAAACGCTGGGATTCTTTTTACAGTCTGGACCTCGGCCAGGTCACCCACCAAACCACATGGTCAAGAAAACAACAAGACCAGAACAAGAGTCTCACAAACAGAGTACTGTTTGCACGTCAGCAGGCAGGGTCTAATTACTGAATGTGTATGAATGACAGAGTACAAAAGAATCAGTCTTACAGTATAAACTGGAGCCTACAAAAGGCATCATATTTCGCCTGTGGTCCAGTCCAAGAGAGGATTTATGATGGTTAAACAGCATTCTTCTTGATTATATGGAAAGTGCAGCTGTTGCTTCGCACTATGGTGGACTATCAGTCCGTTCTCATTTTCAACAGGCCTACTACAAGAGTAATTCCTGTCATTAATCCGGTAAACTTGTACTGCTTTGAATGCTAGTGGTCATTGTGAATGACTAGACTGCACATTTATGAACTCCATTTGAAGTTAATCTGTGCTCTTCTCGGTAGCAGCAGGTGACGGTGGAAGGCGTTGTTAACTGGGTGTTGTTTAGGGTCACAGGGCTCACCTGGCTATGAGTGGAATGTCCTCCTGTTGCAACAAGCCGCTGTTTTGTCGGGAACCTTGACCGTCTGACAGACAACCTCTGAGGGCGAATGTCAGAGCACTGAGGTCTCACAGGTTACGGCACAAAAACAAAGTCTTCCCACTGACATTTACTCAGACTTTCCCTTTACCCACCCTTATATGCCGAGTCGTGGTACATCCACAGGTTCCTGGAGCTGGATGGGAACCAGCATTGTCCCTCTCTGGCTCACAAGTTTAAACAAAGTTTACAGCCGGCTTTAGCTAATGGAAAAGATGGGCAGTTTTGTAGACTAATATGGTCAAAGAGGGCTTTGAATTGCTTCTTCCTTTCTTGCTGAATAGATGGTGAGTGTGAAGCCAAGCAGCTGCTGTTGAGGCCACTAGTAGTCAATCTGAAAACATCAAGGAAGTGTCAAAATAAATACACTGTGCAGGGTGTAAGAACGAGCTGCTGGGTGCTTTCTTCCACATGTGGCCATTAGGCCGCAGACACCTTGGTTTGTAGCTCATTTTGTTTCATTCACTGCACTGCGTGTATACGTCTGCTGTCTTTATTTAGAAGTGAAATCATTCAGTAGCAGTAATAAGAACCAACATAATGACTGTGATAAAACGCTCTGAACAGTTGTTGTCAACACAGCCTGCAGCGACACCAAATAATGGATTTTTGAATTATTACCCATGTGCTTGTTTTTTTTGTGTAAGGTTTTCTCATTTTGTTTTATTAGTGTCACATTTAAAAAGTCAGTACCCACCTATGAATTGAATGATCTCAAATGTACCTTTTTTTCATTCTCTATTTGTATACTTTACTTTTATTAATCATATAACATACTGAACACACTTTGTGACCAGTTTGGTCCTAAAAACAAAGCAAGTCAGAATGAATAGCTGTAAAACGAGCCAAGAGCAGAGCTTAAACGGGAGTCTGCTGGACTCGGTTACTCTTAATCATTGTGTCCCATCACAACAGGAAATCTCAAAGTTTGGATTTAAGATCCCACTCTTATTTAAACTTTACTCACTGAAACATGACCCATGTTTCACAACATATTAAACATGAAGGCAGACATAAATTGAAAGAAATTGCCTGCCCTCCTCTATGCTCAGCTAAAAGCCAGCAGGAACATCTCCAGAAAAAATCTAAATTCTCATCATTTAAAGACAAATGGTGTGTTCATGATTCAGTTCCATTTTCATGTGTAATAATCACCCAGATTTATCTTTTTTTCCACATACTTGTCGACATCTACTTAAAAGCTGACTTTAATGTCAAACTACATTTTGGTTGCTTTCTGACATTTTACAGTAAACGTCGAGAACATTACTCTTACTTTGTTAGCTTGGATCAAACAGCAGAGCCACGCCAGAATAGGGAGACACAGCTCTAACAAAAAAAGGGAAACATTAATATCATTTATCGCCATTTCTCTATGTTTTCATCTAGTTCTTCTGGTTTGGTGAGTCCGGTTAGTTAGAAGGTGACACGTAATGGCACAGGATTTCTGTAGCCAACCATGGCCCATTTTTTTATTTGACCAGTTGCTCAAACAAAGTAAAGCCAGAATAGAATGACTGTCCAAACAGCTTAAATTTAGTGGACCGCAGCAGCATTAAACGAATAGAGCACCCTAGTTTTATAATCTAAAAACAAGCGTAGTTTGAGTTTTTTTCCTTACCATTTAAACAGTAATATATGCTGAATATGTGCTGAAGTCCACAAAAGCCACCCTTTATATCGAACTCTATTAAGACGATGTTGATACAGAAACTGTTCTCAGTTACTCTCTTTAAAAGGAATAACTGTGGCTGTCCTGTGTTGCCTCTGCTCAGTGACCGTTTTTTGTCTACAGTTAAGGACGCGACCAGACTAAATTTAGAACTGCATCTGGCTGCTCATGGTGCATTCTGTCTGGGTGCGGACATCGACTTTTAGGAAATCGCTGCAACAGGTCAAGTGAATGTCACGCTCGGCGGGCCACCAGTCACCAAGAACAGACGACCAGAGATCTCTGCAGGGCAGCAGTCACTGCGGTCTGTGACTCGCCTTTCACTGCTGGCCACAGCAAGGAGAGGCTGTCCGATGGGGATGTGGACGTGCTGACAACTGCATCCGGGTTGACATCTCAACATCGCATCTGAGGTTGACAGACGACCGAGGGTTCTTTAGTCCCCTATCAGAGAGCAGCAGGCAGGTCGTACAGCACACCCTGCAGATTTGTGGTCTCTTGGTGGTGTTCTTGCATTAATTATAGCGTTAATCAAAAGGGCATTTTGTCGTCATGTTTGGGATTCTTGTCAAGTCAAAAGTGCATTTCCGTGTTCGTTTTGGCCTTTAACATGGGCTGTAACTGTCGGTTTGTTTATTTCAAAGCATCAAGTGGAAGCGGTGGTGTTGGTAGTGTCATGGCTTTCTCTGATGGCAAAACAAATGTAGCAGAATGAGTTGGTGAGCTATCAAAATACAGAGCATTTGTCAGTCTTCTCTAATGTTGCTAGGCGTGCCTCTTCACCTGCTAAAACTTGTGGAATGTGCTCAACCCTCCTCAGCAATGTTGCCCCTTTTTAAACAGCTGAAGCATGTATTTTTGTCCATCACACCCAGGCTGGGCAGATGGTGCCATAAGCCAGCAAAATCGCAGGCATTTTCTACATTATTGGGAAAACTGTAGCTGGAGGCCAAATCAAACAATTAATGATGTTGACAAAGAAAGTGCCTTGGACTGACCTGGTCTCTCCAACTGTGTGCATGTGCACTGTGCACCATCCGACTCCGGTCTTTAGTATTACTGGCCAGTTTCCAAAATGATGCATAGTCTCACACACCTCTAAACATGATCTTTACCAACACACCCCTCTAATCATCATAACTCGTTAGAGCTTCCGCAGAAAGTCGATGCTGAAAAGTAAGAATGGGTTAGATGAGAAGTTCTGGGTGTACTAATCCAGGCAAATTATGGTTTAGGTTTCAAGCATTATGCTGTCATGGTGGGGCTCTATTATATAAACACTAGAATTAAGTCTCTCAGTCCCTGCTTTGCGATGGACCGCATTGTACTTTTCCTTTCAAGAAAACTGACCCTTCATCATTAACCACGTCCAAGAGCAGAGATTCAGGTGGTGCCGGGGCAAAGCTCAAAGCTTTCATAGCCTTAGTGCTGTTCAGAAGGAATAAGTGGTATTTATGTGGGAGTGCTGAGGATTTCATCCTCGAGAACAGAAAGTAATAGCCTTTGTATTTTGTGCCATTCAGCTGGTATGTCTTAAGCCGGCTGTATTCTATCTGAACTGCCTGCTGAAAAGCTAGGTGGCTTTGGAAACCGCCTTGCTCCACACCATTCTCAAGTGGGATTAGATGGCTTTGAGTCCGGTTCTGTTTTGTTTTCCAAAACCAACAATTTGAAAGTTATACCCACTTACTGAGCAGTTGAGTTTGAGCCTCTTTCTTGTGTGGGTCAGCCAGCAAATGCTGTGAACTTGTACTTGCTGAAAATAATGCTGCCAGGAGTATTTGCAGAATGTCTCTCTGAATACTCATCCTGTAAACTGTACTTGTGAATATGTCCTCATAGAAAACAAACCAAGTTGTTCTTTTTTAAAATTTTTACTTCTTTTCATCCACAGTACTCTCTGACGGAGGCCAAACTCTGAGGTGGAGGAGGCCGTAAAGAGGCCCAGAGGGAGCCTCCCACCCTCCCTACCTGACCAGTGACACTCATCAGACGGCCATGGCTCCTCGAAAGCGTGGGGGAGGCGGCGGTCGCGGTGGTCTCTCCTTCATCTTCTGCTGTTTTAACGGCAGCGATCACCCTGAGATCACCTACAAGCTGCGGGAGGACTTTGCCCTGCAGGCCATGGAGCCAGCGCTGCCGATGCCGGGATACGATGAGCTGGATGGCATGTTCTCTGAGTTGGTGGTAAGATGGTCTTCTCCTCCTTTTTGGCATTCTTTTAACTTGTGGGTATAGTTTGTATTTCAATACTAAACCTTCTATTTTCTTAGGGTCAAAAACAATTTTTGAAAGACCAAACATCTATCAGCTGCAGAACTGTATCCATGATTGTCTGAGCCATTTGAGGTTGATTAAGCTTATTGTCAGATGCAACACGCAACATAGTACAAAAATTTAAAACCAACCTGACAAATAAATGAGGATCAGAAAACCAGGTCTTTTGACTAATTTCTTGGTACATTTGCATATTAATAAACCTTAAACAAGATTCTTCAAAAATGACTTTAACTAATTGTTTACAGTGTTACATTAAAAAACATTGGCAGATGAACTGTAATCTCCCCTCACTACACATTTACATGATCCCATGAATAACAGGGCCAAGCTGCTTTTCTTTATGCTCATTGTCACCTCTAATTTGTTTTGCCCTCCTCTCTCTTCTGGCCCCATTCCCTTCTTTGTGGTTGCCTTAGTAATCTGAGCATGACATTTTTGCACATCAATAGGCCTCATTCAGGAGGTCTTTATGTCTCAGCCTCCTCCGTCTGCTAATTGCTTGTTTTTGTCTACAACTCTTTATGAAGACTTAATTGAGTAAGTTGAATGTGACGACTAGGAGGCTTTCTGTCGATGTGTTTACAAAGAGAGGGCAGCCACATGCTTCTCTTTTCACTCAGTAGCACTCGTGTGCGTACGTGGGGAAAAAATTACCAAGGTGAAATGAATTTGTAGGCATCTGCTTTGTTACGGTCAGTTAAACCCAACCTTTGAAGTGTACAGTTTGACAGTGAATCAAACTACAGCTTCTTTTTTTCCATCTTATGTTTAGGGAAATTGTAATTTTAACTCATAGGCTCTAGCTATTAGTTGCATTAATCTTAGCACTGCTCATTATCATCTATAGAAGCAAATGCAATTGAATCTGTTCCTCTTAAACTGTTAAGTACTTAGTGTCTTGACTGTCCAGTGAATTTACTAAATCAATCAGTTTTACGATTGGATCGCTGCACATATTGATTCACAAGTCTCCAGATTTTCTTTTCAGTAACCTCCAAAAGATCCTATTGACTTTAAAAACTCTTTGCTATCAAGTCACATTTGTTTAGCTGTGAAAAATACGAACTTTTTACTAAATGACAACAACAAAGCTGTCAGTGTTTAAACTTGTATTTAATTCTTATTCTCTCTCTCTTTAGTGTGTCCCCCAGCACTAAACTGCTTTAAGAGCAATCTCATGACTTTAATCACCTACTTCACATGAAGCTAATTTTGTAGCTTTATCTCTAATTTAGAGAGCATAGGTGTTAATAAGAAAATGCTTTTTCAGACAAGTCGCAGAAATTGTAGGCATGTCAGTTTAGACATTTTCTCTGGTATTTAGTCCAACACTTCCTGGCAGCGGCCTTTATGTGCCTCTATGAAGGTTATACATTGTGACGCATGTTGTTTCCAGATGTTTGCAACCACATGTGGAGTACCCAGACCACGCCTTAACTTTCCCCCGTTACTCACACATTTAAGGACAAGCAGACATCTGATTTAATTCAGAATCTTACTTAAGTTATGATGCCACCAGCCAGAGATAATCAGCACAAACCAATCTCAAACTGAAAACAGAGATCGGTTCAAGTCTCTCTTGGCTCTTATTTTTGTTTTGGGAGGGGAAAAAAGAAAATTGATTTACGATGATGCTTCTAAATGTGCAGCAGCTCGTCGGTGTTCTGTGAATTATATTTCCAGAATGATGCTCAACCTGGCACAGGATTTTATTGTCTCCATGCTGTTACTAATGTACTTAAAGAATGTGAAGTTATCATTTTTGGCTTTTTTTTCCTTTTGAAGCTTCTGAAGCAGCATTTCATAGCACTTAGCTTTTTCTTTTTCTTTTTTTATGTTATTTTACAGGATGAACTGGACCTGACTGAGAAACACAGAGAAGCCATGTTTGCCCTGCCTGCAGAGAAAAAATGGCAAATCTACTGCAGCAAGAAGAAGGTAAAATATTAAGTGCATCACTCCTTTTCTACCTCATCGCAACTCACTGCAAACTGGCTGTGTCTCTGAGATATCTGCAAACATACATGTGGGCCTTTCCGTCATTCATTTAGACATTTCAGAAGGAGCAGGTTTCCTAAAGTTACTGTTTCAGTATCACATTCCTCAGCTCACACAGCCAGCTGTATCTGTGAATTCTTTGCTGCCTTGAAGATGGCAAAAAAAAAACATTTCTCACTTTTTTGTGTAATATTAACTACATCATTGTCTGCTGATGTAGTCCCATATTATCTTCTCACTATTTGTAGGGTGTGACCTGATGTAGTGCGGTTAAAGTAATCTACTCTCCAGAATGTGTAAAAACTCTTTCTGCACTATGAGGAATATTTTAGAGAATCTTAAGAAGAGACTGCCAAAATACTATTTTTAGTAGTCAACCCTATTGTTAAAAAATATATGTTTTCTCTCTTTTTTTCATTAAGATGATTGAAAAGTCATTGGTCTCTATTTTTACTTATGACTGCAAAGCAGCCAACCAGAAACCAGTTAGATTAGTACTAAAATTGGTAATCACATTCGCAAAATAACACTAACCCTATCTTCCAGTAATTAATAATCGACATGCTCTCGTCATGTAAATTATGCATAAGATATCTTAATATTCTGGACAAAGTATTTTGCAAGACATCTTTCTCATCCCACTAAATAGCTTCTCATTACCTTATTCCCCATTCTTGGATTAAACTTTCCGTGCCACCACATGATGAGCGCTGACTGCCTGTAAAGGATCTAAACTGATTGAGTCTCTTAAGTGTTTGATACACAAGGTGGATAAAAAACTAAGTATTTTTTTAGAGGGAGAGTGGGTATAAAACTAAATGTGGTATGTTTTATTAGTTTATCCACTGAGAAGCCAAAGTCTGTCAGAAATGATAATGTCCAAAAACAGTGTTTATTTTCAGACGTGAGAATTCAAAAGTTGCACCATGTTTCAAGTAAATTCAAAGTATGACTTCAGATTTTGTTTTGTGTTATAAGGTATTTATTTCACTGTTATAACTTCCAACCCAGTTTAAACCAGTAAAGCTGGGCACATTTCCTCAAAGCCCTAGCTTTTATTGTCATATGGGTATTACTTTTAGATATTACGCCCGTCCTCTCAAAGCATTTTTGTAGCCATAACATACACCACTGCTCTGTGACAGTGTCATGTTTCATTATCCCCCTTTCTTCCTGATAAAAGGCACCTCAGCTGTTCCTCTTTTCTCTGTGTATGAACTCACCCTGAGTGTGCAGGAAAACACAGACGCCTGTTCTAGTTTAGATCAACGCCAATCACGCTTCCACTGAATGTGCCCTCACATTTTTGACGCAGTGTTTCAAGGCCTTTAGGTTTGAATGTGTCGGATATCCTGTCCCAGCTAGTAGAAATGGCATGCAGATTTACTAATCTTTTCCTGCATCTGGCAAAAAAACTGGGGGCTGAGGAGCATTGGGATTTAGATTGAATGATGGATATTCAGTGGAACAGGGTGTGAAACATAAATCCTCAGAAATTAGAACTACAAAAGGCACGAAAGTCAATGCACAAAGTCTCCAGTCTGTGTGTGTAAAGTGTTGTACAGCTGGGAAAATGGGAGCCAGGTACATCTTGGAAAAATGTACTTTCTTCAGACATGTAGATCACCATTTTGAGCACAAGGCCTTAGAGTAAATCTCTTCATAAAACTAATTTAAAATACCAAAAAAAACACTATCCCTTTAAAGCATAAGGTGCATCAATCACAAATGTGTATTTATCTGGACATATGATCCCTTCAGTGGATTTCTGATACTGCAGAGTTGATGAAAATGAGAGTTCACAGCAGTCAGCCACTTTGTTTACATATAGATGTGCTCATGGCTCCCTTTGGGTCCAGATGACACCAGTCAAAGTGACTAAGAGTAGAAAGGTGAAATGAAACCCACAAGTCTCCTCCTGGTTCTTGTCTCCCCCCCACAGTGGCCTTATTATAAATAGTCCCACCGAGGACGGGAGTGCTTTGAAAATAAAACCTCAGAATGTTTTTCTGCTTCTGTCCTGATCGAGCAGGATTGTTTCGCTGTTGATGTTACAGTGGGGGAGGATTTATGAATCTGAGCTGCCAGCGCAGCAACCTGCCGAAGTGGGGGGTGGGGGGTGGGGGGGGAGAACAGATATGCATCAACTTTGCTGACTCTGCATCAGCCCCTGGCTTGAGCCCAGACAGATAGAAGCTCACCCTCAGAGGGGAAGGGTGTGTGTGTGTGGAGGAAAGATGTAAAGGAAGTGCTCAGTCATCCAAGGTAAACAGGAAGGCTTCGCTTCCACAGGTGCAGGTTTTTTATGAGAGCGGTGGGCTGGGGTTGGAGGAGTGATAAGGATTAAGGGGGGAGGGGTCATTTGTGGGGCAAACGAGTGATGAGAGCGCTCTTTTTGTCCAATTGTTTCTTTGCTTTAAATGGATGAGGAGGAGATAAGTCTGTCAGACCTTTAGCTGTTTGTTTTGGCAAGACACCTAACTGATTAAATCATTGTGGAGAAAATCATTCCTCTTCCTGACTCTCATCAAGCTTTCCTCAAGGCTATTACACCTGCCAAGAGGAAGGTTTACTGATCCGGTTGTTAGAGGATATTTTGTTCTCTGGTTTTCATTTTCATCAAACTTTAGAGCTGTAATTGAAGTTTTCAGGCAGACAGTCCTGCTGTAAAACCGAAACCGTTCCTTTCTTAAAGGATCTTTGATCTTCATTTTCAGAACGTGGAAAAAAATAAATTCCCCTGCACAGAGACTCCCAGCTGTTCTCTCTCATCTTGACCCCAAATAAACTGTACAGTAGACCCTTTTGCAGAGATTCATAGGGAGCGGTCCAACCTCTGCGTCTGGCCCTCTAAAGGACTGGACTTTTTCCAGCACCCGCTTGGTCAAGCTGACGCTTGTCATGAGTGGAACGGCAGGATCAGGACTTCCTATCGCTACACAGTCGATACAGACCAGCCAAAGTCCACAGTTTCTCCCAGGGCAGCCAAGTCTCCGCAGTCGGCTTTAATAACTGATGCCCAATTAGTTTCTGACGGTCACAGTTCACTTGTGCTTAATGGAGCATGATTTAAACCGAGAGCAGGAAGGCCTTTTATGTACAAGCCAAACTCAGGGGAGAGGCGCTTTCTCCTCTGTGTTTTTGAAGGGTGTCCTTCAGTTGAATGTGATTTGTTTATGTTCTCGTAATGCAAATGTGCACACGAGGAGATTAATGTTGCCACAAGTCAGGCCACATCCTTAATCCTTAGTTTTAGCAATCATTTGCTAATCTCTAGATATTTTTTTAAAGCAGCTGTGCTCTCTTTTTTGGCACTTCTGCAACCTCCTGAAGCACAGAAGGATAAAATAGGCTGAATATCTGTGTCGTCCTACTTTCAGTTCTTGCTTTATTTTGAGCTATATCCTCCTGTTCCCAATATGTTTGCTGATGTTTGTGCCTTTCAGAATCTCATGACAAATAATTGAAAGCATGTAGGAAGATGAAACTGTTCCATATCGGATTAAATAAATTCAGATAGCAACTTGTTTCTTTGACTTGTTTGTTTCTTTGCATCCAGTCATAAAATAAATGTAAGAATATTTTCTGTAATTCTCTTTCTGTTTTTTCACCCCATATGTTCTTTAAGAATGATGACATTCTGGTTGCTTCCATGAATCTTCTATATTTCTGTTTTTCAGGAACAAGAGGAAAATAAAAGCGCCACTAGTTGGCCAGAATATTATATAGACCAGCTCAATTCAATGGCTGCTGTGAGTAATACAATTGTCTCAGATAAAGAATGTGCTCTTTGCTAATTTAATCAGATGTGATGTTCATTATCAAAATATGGTTATTTTATCCTGCCTATTGATAATGATTTATTTTGATGTTGAGCAGAGAAAGACACTCCTTGCTCTGGAAAAGGAAGATGAGGAAGAAAGGAACAAAACCATAGAGAGCTTGAAGACAGCTCTCAGGACCCAGCCTATGAGGTGGGCACGGTCTCACAGCATCTCAGTTTCTCACCCTTTATTTATATTGTCAGCTATCATTACATCTCCCCTCATTTAACCTCCTCTCACCTTGTCTGTCACTCTGTGCTGTTCCTCATGACAGAATGGAAATGTGTCCTTTAAAAAGTGCTGAAATGTCACTGCTCTCACTATACATCAAAGGACCCCGCTAGACTTTTTACTTAGAATAAATGTCACATTTACAGAATACGATTAGCTTATGATATGAGAAACAGAGGCACAGCAGTAACACATGTATTTGGACACTTTCTTTTTTGACATTTGATACCACAGTTTTACACTAGGATATTTGAGCATCTGGTATTTTTTGTTTAAAAAAAAACAAAAAAAAACATAAATTTGTTATACTTGAAGCATTAAGAACATGTTATTGTAAAACTCTGATTTCCCTCTTCTCAGGTTTGTGACTCGTTTTATTGATCTGGACGGCCTAACATGTATCCTGAACTTCCTGAAAAGTATGGACTACGACACCACCGAGTCACAGATCCACACATCTCTGATTGGTTGCATCAAAGCTCTGATGAACAACTCCCAGGGCCGCGCCCACGTCCTCTCTCACACGGAGAGCATCAACATCATCGCTCAGAGCCTGGCCACAGAAAATATTAAGACTAAGGTGGCAGTTCTGGAAATAATGGGTGCTGTGTGTCTGGTGCCTGGTGGGCACAAAAAAATCCTGGAGTCCATGTTGCACTACCAGCGTTTTGCCTGTGAAAGGACACGCTTCCAGGTGGGTGGGCACTAGTGAAGCACGGAGATAGGTGAAGCATATCCTAAAGATATTAAAGCCCTTTAATGGTTTGTCACCCCTCAGACGCTTATAAATGACCTGGACCGAAGTACAGGGCGATACAGAGATGAGGTCAACCTGAAAACAGCGATCATGTCCTTTATTAATGCTGTGCTGAGTCAAGGAGCTGGAGAGGTAGAGAATAACTATAAGTCTTCTTATCTTATCCTAGACATCTGTCATCAGACAGACTTAACAACTTTTGGACATTTTTATATATTTTTATTGTTTTCACAATTATAGACCAGTCTGGAATTCCGCATCCACCTCCGATATGAGTTCCTCATGCTGGGGATCCAACCTGTGATCGACAAGCTTCGTTCACATGAAAACTCCACATTAGACAGGTGAGCTGCATCCTCTGTCCTAATTACAGTTTCCTCACAGGCTCTGGCCTTTCCGAGACGTAGAGATTCCAAAAGGATGCATAACATGCTGCACATTATGTTTTAGTAAAAAAAATTCTTATATTTACAAAAAGATGCTGGTGCTCTAACTCGGTGTGCACTGAGATAAAGTTTGAAAGTAACAGAGAGGATTCCATCTTTCCTTTTCCTTTTCATATAAATGATATTAAACTTCATTATAGTTTGCTGAGATATTTCTAAATGAACTCATAAATGCTTCACATTGCCAGACTGTCTCTATAATTGGTCATTTCCTGTGAACCTTTAGACATTTAGACTACTTTGAGATGCTGCGGAACGAAGATGAGCTGGCTTTGTCCAAGCGCTTTGAGTCGGTAAGGCAGAGACAAACCTTCCATTACTCCAGCTCATCAGTCAAATTTTCTGCTGTTATGAAGCTGCCACTCGTCTTCTTCCTCAGGTACATATAGATACCAAAAGTGCCACTCAGGTTTTCGATCTCATCCGGAAGAAGCTGAACCACAACGATGCATATCCGCACTTTATGTCCGTGCTGCATCACTGTCTGCTCATGCCACGTAAGAGTTTCTTTACACTCAACCTTAAAGACTGGCCCACACATGTAAAATATAAAAGCTTATGGGAAACATTTTTACAATATTTATTCTGAAAGCATCAGCATCAGTCGTATTCGTTCCCCAAAATACACTGCTGTTGCACCTTCCATTTTCCATCCAACATGATAAGAATGTTGACTTTGTCCGGATTATTTGGTCTAGTTACTGAATAAGCACATTCCCAGCCAAACTGAACACTGCACTGTTTCAGCCTCAAATATTTACTCTCAAGGCTTTTCCTGTAAAAAGTACACAAACCTGATTCCCTATATCAAAAACAATTCTGTAAACAAACAGCTGCTGTATTATTTTTCTCACCCATCCACATCTAATGAACTCCCGCAAATCACTTTTCTAAAATATTATAAATGAAGTAACCCTGACTGACGTGGTTGAAGATTGGCGCACCCTTAGCTGCACTTAGAGGGACTGAAATACTGTTACATGTGTGGCCCATTGAAAAATTATGAATACATTGTAAAGAGAAAGAAGGAAGATACATCTTAACAGTATTTGTGTTTCTGAGGCCTTCAAAGAAATATCATCGTGTCCCTGAATAATAGATGGAGAGTCGTTATTCAGAGAATATCTTATTTCAAACTGCACGTATGATGTTTGTCTTTGTTTATACAATCACAGTGAAACCAGCTGGGGTTCCAAAATCTAGGATTTCAAATTTAAAAAATGACTTGGCATGGGTAGTAATGTGAAACTCTTTATGTGTCTGTTTCCAGACAAGAGAAGTGGGAACACAGTACAGTACTGGCTGCTGTTGGACCGCATCGTTCAGCAGATGGTCTTACAGAACGATAAGGGTCATGACCCAGACGCCGCACCACTGGAGAACTTTAACGTGAAGAACGTTGTGAGAATGTGAGTGTTCAGATACCCCCCCCCCCGCAACACACACACCCATAAACGAGTACATGGAAGAGATTACATGACTGTGAGGGGGAGGAATGCACAACATTGCTGTTTGGTGAGAAGTTGAAAGCCGTTTACTTCACAGTATTGGCTGAAAATAGCTTCCCTTTTAAGTTGAGAAAAACAAGCAGTTCATGTACAGGCTGTGATTAATTATGTGTGTCATTCTCTCTGCAGGCTGGTCAATGAAAACGAGGTCAAACAGTGGAAGGAGCAGGCAGAAAAAATGAGGAAAGGTTGGTTATACTTAGAATGTACTCACCCAAAAAAGTGAGTGAGGTACTTCTAATAAACTCATAACGATGAATACATTTCTTTTACCTTCCTGTCGCAGAACACCATGAGCTGCAGCAAAGGTTTGACAAGAAGGAACGTGAATGTGATGCCAAGACGCAGGAGAAAGAAGACATGATGCAGACGCTCAACAAAATGAAAGAGAAGCTGGAAAAAGAGAGCAACGAGCACAAAAATGTCAAACAGCAAGTGGCTGAACTCACCACACGACTGCATGAACTCAGCACCGTATGTTTTCCTGTTTATTTTATGACGATTCACAATTATGTTATCATCGTGGTTCCAGAGTAGTAAGAGGCAGAATGATCATTAAATCACTATTAAAGCTTAGAAAGTAGGTGGTGTACAGTTTTTTTTATACCCATCAAAGCTAATGGAAACACCCATGTTCTCGATCCCCTCAGCTGTTCAGAGTGTCTAAGGGAAATTTGTCAGTATTTAAAACTTCAAATCTGTCTCCGCAGAGGCAGGCCACAGCAGTCGTTCCTGGTGGCCCCCCCCCTCACCCCCGGACCCCCTGGCGGTCCCCTGCCTCCTCCGCCAATGCCAGCATTTGCAGGCATGTGTCCACCTCCTCCACCACCTCCTGGTGGTATAATGCCACCTCCCCCTCCACCACCACCACCACCAGGTGGCCCTCCACCACCTCCAGGACGCCCACCTCTCGGAGGCATCCCTCCTCCACCAGGAGCACCCCTGGGACCATCTCTGAAGAAGAAGAACATTCCTCAGCCATCCAATGCACTCAAGTCCTTTAACTGGTCCAAACTGGCTGAGGTGAGAACAGTCTACTCACAAATGGCAGAAATATATTCCTGACTTTTGTTCAAATCAGATGTATGAAAAGCATTTTTTTTGTACAGAACAAGCTGGAGGGAACTGTCTGGATGGATGTGGATGATGCCAAGGTTTTTAAAATCCTGGATCTGGAGGATATTGAAAAGACGTTCTCAGCCTATCAGAGACAGCAGGTACTGAAGAAGATAGTTTTTATTTTATTTTCATGTTACCAGATGCTCATCTATTAGAGATTCAATTGAGATGACCTGAGGGGATGAGCTTGCTGGCTTTTTTGGAGTTAGACATGGGTTGTGCAAGAATTCTCTCATTTTTGTCTCTATATAGCTTTTTCCGACTCTCGTAGGGAGTTTGGGAAAGCGCAAGAGGTCAAATGTTTGGATAGATATGGCTGCTTATTATATGCAGAATGTCTATGCCTGAATCACGACGTACATTTGAATGGAATGCTTTTTTTTTATTAATTCTACTATGTGTGGTGAAAATTGCATGAGTTGGCTGCTTAAAATCAGCTGTTCCCTTTTTTAGTTTCAAAGCATTGTATTAATTTAGTTATCTGTATTGAAAAAAAACTTGTTAGATTAAACATCACAGTGGCACAAAGTAGAGAAAAAGATTTCTATGTGCACAGCATGTGACAGGAAGCACAAATCGATCGACCCAACACCCACTTACTGCTCACTTCATCGTTGATGCATTGTCACTGAACTTCTGATCGAGCTCCAATTCATTTGCCGTCTGTTCTTATGGCTGCAATCACATAACTGCTTTACTTATTCTAATGAATGCTGACATCTTCCCTGCTTCTTGCCTGCATTTTAGGACTTCTTAATGATCAATAACAGCAAACAGGTGAGTTCACTTACCGTACTGCACTTTAGCAGTGTTAATTAATACCTTCTATGTGTGTTTTATTTGTGTTATTGTATTTTTCTTCCTTATCTAGTGTTAAAAAATACAGTCTTTAAGATCTCATTTAACATCAGCTGTCTTTATTCATGTCCATATTTCTCGTGTGAGGACTTCTCTGTGACCGCTTCAAACTTTGTACTGTTTTCAGCCCACTTTTTATCTTGTGTGTTGTTGATGTCTTACGTTTTAATGTAACTAACACATGTTTGCTTTAGACATAGCTTGATGTAAGTTCTTGATTACTCTCACCAGAAAGAGGCAGAAGATGACATGTTAGGGTCTAAAAAAGTCAAGGAGCTGTCGGTTATCGATGGCCGCAGGGCTCAAAACTGCAACATCCTGCTTTCACGGTAAGTTCTCTTAAGCAAAACTGAAGTTTAATCATGTAGCCCTTCATTGATTAAATAACTGTACTCATCTGTCTTTTTCTTCAGACTGAAGCTTTCGAATGAGGAGATCAAGAGAGCGTTTCTAACTATGGACGAGCATGAGGATCTCCCCAAAGACATGCTGGAGCAGGTACAGCACATAAAGCCACAAATGGATGCACAGAGTGCTCAGATGTGGCTTCATCGAGTAAATTCATTTTTGCTGATCTTTGTTAAGTAGATTATGGTCTTGCCTAGGCTGCATGGAAAAGTTACAGCCACCTGAGAGCTAAATATGGAATTAAAGAGTCTCTTTCTGCTCCCATCAGCTGCTGAAATTTGTTCCAGAGAAGAGCGATGTGGATCTCCTGGAGGAGCACAAACACGAGCTCGATCGAATGGCCAAGGCTGACCGCTTCCTCTATGAGATGAGCAGGTAAGGCGCCCTTCTGTGCTGCTCTTTCAATTCTGTAAATGAAACGGTCACTAATCTGAGAGCTGAAAGCTTCAGTTCAGTGCAGCTCAGATGTGCTGACGAACAATAACCTTTGCTTCAGAGAGCTGATAAACGCAATGACACATGGCTTTCTACTTAGCAGGGAACAATAGCTGCTGTGTGAATCTCCGCTTTTAAATTCAGTCGGTGTATAAATAGAAGCAAGAATGTAATAAGAGTACTTGTTGGACAGTTTTGTAAACAAAGGTGTTGTGGGATAAAATAAGTAAGAGACATGTTAGCATACTGCACATGCATGCACAAAAATGGATCTGAGGCTACAGCGGGGCTGTGGTACAGTGGTTTAAATAAATGTACACTTTATAACGCTTAAAGAATTCATTATATACATGGTTTTGAAATATCGTCGTTTTAATAATTTGCAGTATTTTTCAGAGTATGTACTGGAGGACAGATGTTACTGTGGTATTCATACGCCTCTGAGTCCGTGGTTTTACAGGCTGCAGAAATCATAAACTCTGCCAAAAATAAGCCAGTTTACCGCAACTCAACTTTTTTTATGCCCTCAAGTGAGATCACTTGCTTTGGTTTTCTAAAGCAGTGTCTGCGTCTGCGGCTTTTGTCTAAATTTGTGGATTTCCATGTTTATAATTTATTATCTTTATCTGATTTTTTTCCATCTCTTGTTCAGAATAAACCACTACCAGCAGAGACTGCAGTCTCTATACTTCAAAAAGAAGTTTGCAGAGAGGATAGCTGAGATCAAACCCAAGGTTGAAGGTAAGGAATCTCCTTTTGATAAAACAGTATATTTAATATACCACAGCCTCTAAATTTGCTTTTGATATAAATCAAGTCTCCTGCTTCTGTTGTAAACTTTCATTTTCCTGGTAAAGCTCTGACTAAGGCGTCCAAGGAGATTTTACACAGTAAAAACCTGAAGCAGCTTTTGGAGGTGGTGCTGGCCTTTGGAAACTACATGAACAAGGGTCAGAGGGGCAATGCTTACGGCTTCAAGGTCTCCTCCCTCAACAAGATCGCAGATACCAAATCCAGTATTGACAAGTGAGAATCTGGTTTAACGTTGGTTTTGGAACAATACCGTGATGAATCTGAACATGTTTTATATTTTAAAGTTTATAATACTTCAGCGTTATTGTGCCCATGTGAAACTTTATACTCCTCTGGGTTTGCAGAAACATCACCCTGCTGCACTACTTGATCACCATCCTGGAGAAGAAATATCCCAAAGTCCTGATGTTCCAGGAGGACCTGAAGACTATTTCAGAGGCAGCCAAAGTCAAGTAGGTTCATCTGAGAGTACTGATCCCCATCACAGAGGATGAAAAGGTTGTGAGATTTAAAATGTTAAAAAAAGTAAACAGTGTTTGTACTGTGTTTTATGTTTCATTTGTACTTCTTGGAGTTTTTCTCACTCACTATTTGAGATGGGATGTGTCCCTTTCTGAATCAACTGGTTGCCCCGTGCGATGAGTTCAAGAGGTCATGGGTTGACAGTTTTCCATTTGAACTGAAAGATCCAGTTGGGAATCGCTGCTGTCTACTGTATTATTAAAGCTAATTCTTCCATTCTGTTGATGATAAACACCTTCTCCTCTTCCGCTGCAGCATGACGGAGCTGGAAAAAGACATCGGCAACCTGCGCAGCGGTTTGAAAAGTGTCGAGAGCGTGAGTCATAAAAGATTTATTTATTGCTCCATGTTTATTTAATTCACCGACGGAAAGAGTGTTGTTTACACTTTTGTCAAATTTCCTCTCATAGGAGCTGGAACACCAGTCAAAACGCCTCCAGGAGCCAGGTGACAAGTTTGTGTCTGTGGTGAGCCAGTTTATCACCGTGGCCAGCTTCAGCTTCTCCGACGTGGAGGACTCTCTCACAGAGGCCAAAGAGCTGGTGAGTGAGTGAGACGGTGGGCTTTGAGCAGACAGAAGTGCACCACTGTCGCTCAAAGATCCGGGTGCTGAAAGCTTGCTTCCGGTTTCCCCTCCGAGCAGCTGTGTATATATGTCTTGTTGACCCCAGCAGTCCCCTCTATAGGAAAGCTAACAGCAGGGGTGAAGTGTTTCAGCTTCCTGCTGCAGCACCACTGACTCTTTACCGGCCTCCATGCTCGCATGTGTGCAGGTCAAGAGTGAAAGCTGGAAAACAAGCCTGGATATCATTTCACACAGTTCTGTACACAGTCTGAGTCTGAGGGCTTCAGGAGAGCACATTACACCTGCCAACTGTGTCAGCGCTTGAATTCTTTTCCATACAATTTTTTTAGTTCACACACAATATCTACACTTAAGGAAAAGCGAAAAAAAAAAGTTTTATGGGGAATGGACTCCATTAAACCTTAATACGGTCACCTTTCAAATGATTTACATCCTCCTGTTGACATCTCTCTTCCTGTAAGCAGGAAGAATTTTTATCTCCAGCTTTGGTGTTTAAACTCTGTGCTTGACTGCTCACATGGCAGCCATTAGTGTCTGTTAATCATTTCTAGCCTTCTCCAGTTAAGTGTTTCAGGTGTATATAGTGAGCACTCACTGCTTCTGAACATAATTGGTTTTGTTTTTAACTCCATTTGTATTCAAATAACAATAAAATACCAACAGAATGGCAAGCAACAGTGACATTTGATCCATTTTATATTATTTGACTTCAAACTACAAAACTGGCTTTAAGATAATTCAGATAAGAGTTTGCATGTCACAGACTGTCAAGACACACATTTTTAACAGTAAATATTCTCAGCGTGATCTCGTATCTGCATGCTCTCCTTTTTTAACTTGCCATAAAAATAAACAACAAACACATTGGCGTAATTTGGGCTCTGGCTCCAGTCTCCAACCTCTGCTGCAATCAGTAGCCGGTCATATCTGGGTTAACATGGGCTTCAAAGCCTCCACTTCTGCTGCCCTGCTCTGATTTCAAAGAGCTGAGACCTAATGAGTCTCCTGTAAAACTGTAAAAGTGCTTCTGCTGTAAGTCACCCTCCATGTGTCCCTCTCTGTGTGCCCCTTCAGTTCCTGAGGGCAGTGAAGCACTTTGGTGAAGACGCCAGTAGGATGCAACCAGACGAGTTCTTTGGTATCTTTGACCAGTTCCTGCAGTCCTTCACAGAGGCCCAGCAGGAAAACGAGAACATAAGAAAACGCAAAGAGGAAGAGGAGCGCAGGGCCAAAATGGAAGCTCAAGTAAGTGGCCAAAGATGCTCAGCTCAAAGAAACTGGTGTTTTTCTTTTTTCTTTTTTTTTACATATTTTGAACATTTAAACATTGATAAGTACAAATGCAGTGACAAGCATAGAGAGAGTCGCTTTCTCTCAGTCCAGAATTTCTCCTGTCTCGCCAGCTGAAAGAGCAGAGGGAGAAAGAGCGCAAGGCCCGGAAAGCAAAGGCGAATGGAGAGGACGACGGGGGGGAGTTCGATGATCTGGTGTCAGCGCTGCGATCGGGCGAGGTCTTCGACAAGGACTTGTCCAAGATGAAGCGTAACCGCAAGAGGATCAACAGCCAGAACACAGAAGCGAGCAGAGAGCGGCCGGTCACAAAGCTCAACTTTTAGGCTCGATTGAAGTCCTCATCCCTCCTGCTCACTGCCTCCCCTCCCAACCATTAGTTTCACTCTGGGTCGCATTGACCTGCACATTCCTCTGCACCCGCCTCTTCTACCACCCAGCTCCGCTCGGAAAAACCATGACCAGAACCACCCAGACAGCACAAAATGTTTAGACCTTTCATTCTCTTGAAATTTTAAGAGGGGGAGCAGAAGCCAAAAATTGAACAAGTTTGACCAAATAGGAGCAGATTGAGATGGAGCTGCCTCCCTCCAGGTGTGGGAGATGCTCCTGGCCCATCGGTAGGATCCGCTCTGTGCCGGTTTTGTATGTTTTTGCACAGATTGAATTGTGCAGCTTTAAGACTCCGTAAGGGCTGGGTGCTTTATCCAAACAGGACTGATTCCATTTAGGAAAAAGGGGGCCATTTTGTACAGACTGACTTTGTGAATTGAACTGTCGCAGAGAGACTGAACCCGGACTTCCTCCTGACGCTGCTGCTCTCTTGCAGTCAGAGTCAACACGACTGAGAATCTGCGAGGTTAGAGAAATGTGGCTCTAACTGCAAGTGGCGCAGCTGAGATGCAAGTTTTTTTTTTTCTTTTCTATTCATCATCCTTGACGAGCAGCATTTATATATAAATATATCTCTGATCACTGTATGTTTGATTTGAATGTTTTCCTGTTAAGAGCTGGCCTTAACTCTGTTGACTTTAAGTGTTAATTTGGTTCTCTCGCAGGCCAGGACCTATCATGGGGCTTCGCAACACATCTGGACACTCAAGTAATAAATTACAGGTTCAAAAGTGAAGGTGTGTGCTTTACACGTGCACAGAGCAGCTCATAATCGTGATATGAGTTACGATTAAAAACCAATCCCAATCAAGGCAAATCACTGTCCCCGTGTCCTCTGATGAGAGTGGCCCCCATTCATGTTTTCATTTGAACAGATTATGTGTATCCTGCACACTGGATGGATTTATACTGCATTAAAAAGAAATCCAATGTTGCTGTGTAACTTTTAATTTGTCCTTCAGCGATGTGAATCCATCCAGTGTCAGACAGCTCCTTTGACCTTTTATAATTTAAAAACTGCCTTGTTCCATTGTACAATGACCTGATAACAGTAATGATAATATAGAAAATAAAGAGGATCAATCAGTTTTGAGTTGTGCATTAGTCACCCTATACACTGTCATACTACACTTATTCTGGTTTGTAAAAAAAGAATTGAATAAATAATGCTGCTGAATGGTAATCTTAATGAACCCTCATGGCGCCCTCTAGTGTTCAATCAGTGAACGTGAATGTTGTAGGCATGTTCATTTCCGAATGAGCTTTAAATGAACAACAAAGATAGCATTTGACATGAAAGAAAAATTTTACTCTTTAAAAAATCTTTATTACAGGATGTAATATCCTGATGTAAAAGCGGGCAGAAATGCTCATAAAAAGAAACCCCACTGTGATCAGAGATGCATGGAACAGCGAAAGTCTCTTCTTGGATATGGAAAATCCTCCATCAACACTTGTGAAAGTTTCAAATTTAAATTCTCAAGTTACACATTTTTTAAGTAGATGCTCATTTCAGCAGAAACCCGTGTGTCAGTTTGTCTTCCGGCTCTTGGACAAAGCGTGACACTCCAGTGTAAAAGGCCCTACCAGCGACCTCCACTACCACAGCCTGGAAGCTTCCACATTTGGTCTCCTGTAGAGAAAACAAAATCCCACCTTTACATAAGTAAACCACAAAAAATATAAACAGTCCACGCTGATTATTCTGTGTTGGGGCTAAACAGTGTTTGCAACAGTGTAACAACCACCTGTGGCTGATATATGGGAGGATGTGATCTAGTCCAGCTTAGATGATAGTTTTGTAACAAAGGGTCAGTTCAGTCTGTTTGAAATGTGTGTGTCCACATGAGGGGAGTAACAGGCTCGCTTTATCTCAAACTACGCCTGACCTTTGGTAGATGACAAAGTGGACCCAGAGACCTTCCAGCTCCTTCTGCAAACATATGCAGAGGCGGGAGCACAGAGGTGGCGCGAGTCACATTTCTAATCCGATTGGCCCAAAGCTCCCCGCACCAGAGTGGTTCTGGGAATTCTGTCATGGATTCAAAGCATGCAGTCATGTCGGCACTAGAGCGGCTCTTTTTTTTAAACTCCTCACTTGTTCCCACCGTTGATGTAGGCATCATTATTGTCTCAAAGCTGACAAACATCTGAAGTCAAACACTTTTCCATCCAGTTCCCTAAACCTCTGCCCCCCCCCATACACCGCAAGGGCCCCGATACCTCAACAGCTTTTCCTGTGAACTGAGAGCCGGTGGCTCCACTCTGAAAAGTCCGGGTTTGGTTGAGCTGGATGAGACCTTTGTGATACTGAAGAGCCACTCGAGCTGTGACACCTGAGCCGGTGGGGCTGCGGTCCACCTGAGGACACAGAATTCAAATCGCTCAAAGCTTTAGTTTCAGACGGCACTTAGCAATCACATGACTATTTTCTTGTGTTTTTGCTTTCTTTTTCATTTCGAGTCAAAGGTCGAGTCTTTTCACAATCTTTTAATAACCCCTTTTGCCCTTTTTACGTCTTCGCGTGATGGCAGCTTTTCACGGCTTTGTGCTGTATGCACTGATCCAGCTGTTGCTTTTAGAAGCTACAATGTTATGAGCTACGTATGGAACAGAGGGCTTCAGCTGCGTCAGCCAGCAGGAGCATGGCAGCTTATCCAGGATCGGCCGCTAACATACCTGAGCCTCGGCGAACACACAGATGTTGGCAGTGGGTTCAGGAGAGTAGTCGTCCTTCCCATCTGTGAGGATGGTGCCGTACAGAAAGGCCAGGTCCTCACTGCTCGGGTGATGCAGCTTCACCTGAGACACGGCGAGAAAAGCTGAATGGAGACGAAAGGTACGAGGGCCCTGACAGAAGGTGACCAGACCTCAAAGCAGTCTGTGAGCCGTCTTTATTTTGCAGCTCGCTTCCAGGATCGTGGCGCGGCACGTTTCCCAGAAGGGGCAGGAGCTGCTAACCACGCCGGGGCTCTGGGTAATATCAAACTGTGAAGTCATGTGGTGCTCGAATTTACAGCTACAAGTCCAGGCTTTACAGTCCTGCACCGTCTGCTGTGTAAACATTACCAGATGTCGCTCTCGCTGAGCAACAGGCCTCCGAAACCACAGAGTATGTTTTAACCGCTGATTTGTAGCTCTGCACTACAAATAACACTCAGCTGATTTATAAGAGACTTGATTAAATGCGCTGGGCAGAGAAGATCCTCTTTGTGGTTTGGTGCCCAAGTGAGATGCCTGTAATTAAAAATTCTTTATTCTTCAGAAGAAGCACAGCAAAGGATTATGGATGTTTGTTTTGTTTGTTTAATTTATTCTTTCAGGGTTTTTAACGTGGTTTTTGCCTGATTTCTAACTAACGACATATGTAGAGATCCTCTGACCTGAGCTTTGACGGCTTTGGTCACTGCCGTGGCCGCGTCCACCAGATCTCGGGTCCGGGACTGGGTCACATCCAGACCGAACCTCTGGGCGTCGACGAAGGCGTAGAAAGCTCCTCCGTAGCTGATGTCCACCGTCACGTCTCCGAACCCCTCCACCGTCACGCCGACGTCTGGAGCACAGGTCTCAGGTCAGTCCTGCGGGGGGGGGGGGGTCTACCTTCCGGAAAGGGGGGAGAGCCGCCTCCTACCTGCTGCGAAAACGAACGCCGGCACGCTCAGAAACCTGGCCGCTCCCGTTTTGCCGTCCGAGTACTGGACGAAGGCCTTCACCAGGCCGCAGGGGCAGTGGATGTTGACCTGCGTCTCCGGGGAGCGCGGCTCCCTCACCAGCCCGTAGTCCACGGCGAAGCGGGCCAGCGCGAGGACGGCGTGGCCGCACATGGTGCTGTAGCCCTCGTTGTGCATGAACAGCACGGCCAGGTCGGCGTCCGGCAGCTCGCTGTCCACCAGCAGGGCCCCGTACATGTCGCAGTGGCCCCGGGGCTCCCACATCAGCGCCCTCCTCAGGTGGTCCAGGTGGGCCCGGGCGTGCCGGCGTTTCAGCAGCAGGCTCTGACCTTTGACCTCCGGGTAGCCGGCCAGGATGATCCGCAGCGGCTCCCCCCCGGTGTGCATGTCCACCACAGAGAGGTCCGGCCCCTCGTGAGGCGGGAGCTGCACTTCCATCTCGGCGAACCACTGGGCTGCGAACAAAAATTAAGAAAGGGTTTCCCGGTCTTAGGGATGTCATCTGGACAGCCACCCTTACAGCCAACAGTAGATGGTCCACAGCATTTTGGTCAGATACTGACCGTCTGTGGTCTATTATGACATTTCTCCATGTAAAACTCCAAAAGGCTTTTAGAAAAGCCTGGAAATCTATCCAATGCCCAAGTTTAGAAAGTATACATCGGGCTTTATTTACGTTTTGTCCACCTAAAATACATGAGTGAGGCATCCTAAAGTGTAAAAACCTGCCACAATATAATCTGTATTCAATCATCAAAGAAAATGAGAAACAGCCAGGAGCGAGTTTCCGATTTTCAGAGGGACAAAAAAGAAGATATGAGAGCACCTCATTCGTTTGGTCATGTCCCAATTTGTGCACGCTGTATGGTTCTCATTCAAAAGCTGTTCAGTGATATGATCAGCCCCTCTAAATAACACTTTGAAAAGTTTGTAAGCGCTTTAGGAACTCGGATCCTTTCAGGACGGACCGACTTCTCTAGTTCACGCAAATCCACCAACGCTGGAAAAGTTTACCTGATGTGGGTGTTCCCCGTTGCTTTGGGCTCAGACTTCTGCACGGTGGCGTGTTTTCTTGCGTCTTGAGCGTGGACGCTGCAGAGCGGCGCGCGCACACGCGGACAGGACGCGTTAGTGCCACCGTGCGCTCCGGAGGGCTGAGAGACGCCCACCGTGGAGAACCCCCACCCGGGAGGGGGGGGGGGGGGCAGAGGCCTGAGGCAGGAGGAAAAGAGACAAGCCCGCCGTCTCCTTTTCTGTCTGGTTACTTATTGCCAGTTTAACTCTCTCAGTAAGTGAGTTGCAGTAAGTGTTGGGAGTCCTAAGGGGTGTGGCTGAAATGCTGAGAGTTTTTCCCCTCTCTGGGCCTTACAGCTGAAGCCATCCCCGCTCATTAACCTTTTCATTTCAAGCTCACCTGTGTGCGACCAGCAGTGACCTCTCTGGTGTGTGGACCGCTCGGTTTTTCGTTTCCTCTGACGAATTCCCCACATTTCCTGTAAAAGTCTGGGTGATCTCTAGTTTCCCACGAACCTGATCCTGTTTTCTGCCTTTGCCCGGCTTACAAATGACCTGGTTTTCGTCTGTAATTTGCCTGTGGGATTCTTTCTGAGCTTTGCCACTTGACAGCAAGAGGCTTCCTGGAGTAGATCCCTAGTCTTCTCATCAGCATCCAGTACGGACGGACTAAAGCGTTCCACAAGAGACCAAACAACAGACAGTCATTTTGCATCAGTTTTCATTGTTCATAATTTTACATCTGACAGGTGCATGCAAGGTGATTAAATGCTTCTAACTGAGGAAGGGTTTACTAAATCAACAGTTGCATGCTGAGATTCTTACAGTTCGCATGAAAGTCCTTTGCAGTCACATGGAAACTAAAATAATAGAAATGATACAAAAGCTTTGTACCAGACAAATATACCTGAGAATTTCTTGTCACTGAGGAATTCAGTTGTTTTTCCAACAAAATGTATTGCATATTAGAAGAAGGAAAAAAACAAACAAAAAAAAAAACAGTCCAGTTGCTTTTCCTATCTTTTTTTTGTTTTACATGCGGTGGTAGGATTATTTTCTGAACATCAAATGTCTGCATAGCTCATACATCTATTCATTATCCTCCAGTCCTAAAAGCAAAACAGTGAAAAAGAGAGACCACACCACCAGGATTTGCATTTGTGTTATAAAATAGCTCCAAACCTCATTCGGTTCATTGATCTTATCAAAGTAAGGCACCTATAGTTACCTGACTGTAAAGGTAGTAGACGCACTGAGCAACGAGAACCAAAGAAGCCAAAACGAGTCATTTATTCAAGTGAGAATATTGTTAATTTGTTCGAGTGAGATAATGAAAAGAACGGTTTTAACTTAAAGTTTGCTTCCTCAACAAGCACCTTCTACACTAAAGTTGTAGACCTAATTTTTCTTAAAAATAACTATCAAATATATTCATTTTCAAGCAACAAGTCTGAAGACTTCATGGCATTCTCACACACAGAAAAAAACAAAACAGTCACAGCCTCCTAAGACGGCTACGAAAATCCCTGGGTTTTTGTGGTTTTCGGTTAAATGAACGGGTTTTTCTGCATGCGGTCAAGCGTCTTCCTCTCCGTTCCAGCAGAACATGCAGGCTGCTGATCTGACAGGTCTCCCGGCTCTCCGTCGAAATCAAAAACGCTCCTCCTCCGTGGTCGCGACCGAGTCTTGATTTTTCGTTCTGGCTTTGGAGGCGGTGGGGGGCAGCGAGAGTCTCCGCTTCATGGACAGCAGCCGCAGGATCTCGCTGACCTGCGACTCCAGCAGCGACAGGCGGCTGCTCAGCCTGCTGATGTCCCCCTTCAGCTCCAGCTTGGCCTCGTGCAGCGCGGCCTGCAGCAGGGCCTGCTCGGACGCCGGCTGGACGAAGGCCTGCCTGAGGGACACCTCGGCGTACACCCCCAGGCCCTGCTCCGGGGGAGTCCTCTCCAGGGGGCTTCTCTCCATGGGGCTGCGCTCGAAGGAGCTGCGGGAGCTGCCGGCCCGGTCGATGCGCAGGTCGCTCCTGGTCAGGCCGCTGTCGCAGGAGTCGGTTTTGTGCAGGACGCCCGTTTCCTCCCCCGCCTCTCCGCCCTCCGCCTGTGGGCCCTGCTCCGCCTGTGGGCCCTGCTCCGCGAGTGGGCCCCCCTCCGCGAGTGGGCCCCCCTCCGCCTGTGGGCCCTGCTCCGCGAGTGGGCCCCCCTCCGCCTGTGGGCCCCCCTCCGCCTGTGGGCCCCCCTCCGCCTGTGGGCCCCCCTCCGCCTGGGGGCCCTGCTGGGCCGCTCCGGCGGGCTGCTCGGGGGGCTTGGGCGGCGTGAGCCACTGGTCTGCTCTCTGCTTCTGCTGCTCTGGACGCGTCTGTTGCCCGGAGGGGGCGCTGCTCCTGAACTTGGCCCACCCCCGGGCCCCCCTGAAGCCGCGCGGCCCCCCCGCCGCTCCCTCCCGACCGGCATCCCCGCCGGTGCTCTCTCCACCGGGCCTCGATTCAGACTCCGCAGCCGGCGCGCGCTCTGCCTTTTGGACGCGGTCAAACCCTTCCGGGGGGGCGGCCTGGCCGGGGCCGCCGCTGGCGCCCCCCCCCCCTCCCTGGCAGGGAGCGCTGTTGGGCACAGGGGAGCGTTGCTCCGGCTGCTGAGCGGACACCGACTGGAGCGGAGGGCAACAGTTGGCGTCAGGGTGGGGACTCTGCTGCGGCTCCTCCTGGACACAGTTGTGGTCAAACAGGGTCTTCGGCTCTCGGGGCGGCGGGAAATCTCTCTGCTGTCTGAATCTCTGGAACAGCTTGCGGACCGGGTGGTCTTCGGGGATGGAGAGGGCCACCTCGCTCCGCTGGCGCTCCGCCTCTCTTTTCACATCAGCAATTTTTCTGAAGATGATCTGAAAAAAAGTTAGCGTGTTTGACAAAACTGAAGAGTTTAAATAGCATATAGTTTATATTAATATATTTTACACATGTAAAGGCTCTAATACAACTTTGTCATAATGGTAGCCTTCCAGAGATGATATGTTCACTGATATACAGAAGATTTAGAGGTGGCAGTGCACAGGGGAGACTATTAATTCAGAAATAATTTAATTATGAAGCTCTATCAGTGATCTCGCTCCTCTCTTTCGAACATAAAACATTTAATAAGTTAGTTGTCCAAGTTGTCTTTTTAAAGACTGTATTGGTGTCCAAATGTTCGGGTTCGGGTTTGAATCTACAGAACATGTGTCTCATTTTGAGTTTGATGCCACTAACAAAGCCGGAGAAATTGAGTATGTTCCACGATTCTGTATCACGTCTACATTTAAAACATTTTGGAGTTTCCTGCTGTGCATCATTTTACAGCGGGCATCAGGTCTGGACAGGCAGGGTAAAGTTCCACCTAAACGTTTTGGAACCGTTTTACTCAAAAAAGTAAAACCTTCCCACCTGCATGGTCATTAATACTCCTCGACATTTATGCTGCTTTCACAGAGGCACAACTTACTCATGACATGCATACAAAACCCTCTTTGCAGCTTTCTGCTGACTCTGAAACCTGTTTCAGATGAGTTGTTGGCATCACATTGTACATGAGCACAGGTTGAAAATGGAATTTAAATCCTTTAAAAAAAAAAAAAGCTTTACCAGCTGGTAAATAACAGGCTAAAACGGTTTGAAAAACTTTATTGTTCACGCCTGTCTGTCCCGCACAAGCCAAACGAGGACCGTGCAGGCATGAAGAGTTCCTAAAGCTACTCCAATGAATAATGAATGACTTCATTTTCATAGAACGTATCTGAAGCAGCATGAATCTTTAAACCAGCAGCTACAAATTGCTGAGATTCACAGCTGCTTCACAGAGACTGATTTCAGTAAACTATTACATAATACTTCTTCTAAGAGAGCTAGGTTGTGTGAGAAAAGAGCAAAACTACAAGTATGTAGCCACTTAGAGAATTTCAAATCAATGTGGAGCGCTTTGTTCTTCTGCACTCACTGTCCTGAAGGGTTAGGGTGAGGTAGTTACTCTTCACACAGTGGGTCTGTTAAGGGATTGTGTCTGATTGAATACTTGATCAAAGTTTATGTTTCAAACAGCTTTGCAGCCCTATATATATTTTATATAGCCGTGCCCTGAACAAAGAATCACATGAGCGCAACTGTTTTGATTTTTGAAGAGAACATCTATTAACAATGTATGAAATGTTTGACTCAAAGGAAAATATTGTGAGAGTGTATAAGCAAGTAATTCTAAAGCAAGTCATTCTTTTCTTTCCACTTATAATTGTGAGAATGCTTATTGTGATTTCCACAAGTAAGATATCAAATTGTTCAGCTTTGTCGGGACATAGCGGCTGTGTCTTTTGGTGTTAAAATCGTTTCAAATTTTAAGATGTTATAAAGTTTTGGAGACTGACTGGTCGATTGCACATACACAGAACGCAACTTCCAGTCAAGGTTCCACTTCTTCTTTTTGGGGAGATTTTCTGTATCTTTCCTTAAAAATGTCTTCTCTTTTTTGAATCTTCTACCTTTCACCTTTTTCATCATCTTCTGGTGCAGTGATTCTTCAGATCAGCATGCTCACTGCTGTTTCATAAGAACAGCTCTTTCTAGTTGGAAATTGTTATTTATAATAATCAATTAAACTCTGAAAAGGTCAGATCAGTGCTCTTGTTAACTGTAAACTCAAAGCAGCAGTCGACACACTGACTGAGGGTGTAAGAACGGAGACGATGTGTTATTTTTTTACCCTTTTCCGTAGATTGCAGGTGAGGATGAGATTGCGGGAGAAGGAGTTGGCGAACGCTGTGTAAAAGTCCAGCACCCTCATTAGAGCTTCTCTCCTGATGACGTGCAGGTCGCAGTAAGTGAGGGCGCGCACATTTGCACAGGCTCGGGCAGGCGTGGTCTCTTTCCAGAACACGTCTCCAAACACGTCCCCTTTGCCTGCACAGGACCAGACGTTGTCTGCTTGTTAATAAATGTCATAAAGTATTCAAAACGTGCTCGAAAAATGTGAACTATGACCGAAATGAAAGAAGATATTTACTGTAGGGAGCATCAAGAGGGGAAAAAAAAAAAGTAGACACCCAATTTATTTCACAGTATTGCCCTGTATTACCTAGTATTGCAATGACCTCATCGTCTTGGATGACTTCCAGAGAACCGGAGACAACAAAGCAGAGTGTATCGAGACTCTCTCCGATATGGAAGATGAGGTCTCCGGGCGCACAGTGTGTGGTCTGAAACTCCACAGCCAGGGAGCGCAGACAGCCATCGCTGGCCAGACGGAAGGCAGGATGGTCATTGAACACTTGTCTGTTGAGGTGCACACAGATGTCAGCACGCATGTCTTTGGGACAGATGGAGAGGACCTGCCAGAGATGTGGAGATTCAACAGTGACTAGTGCATCTTCAACAAATGTGCAAGTGAGTTAAGTCCCTGACCCTAACCTAAGAGTGACCAGCTCCAGTGATACCTTATCTGTGTCGATGCCTTTGGACATGGCCCAGGTGGAGACTATGAAGTCCATGACCCTCTCGCTCAGACCTTTGGGAACCTGATAAAGCTTCAGGAATTCCCGCACATTGTTGAGCATCTCGTGGTAGCGGTTTGTGTTGGTGTACATCTGCTGGAAGATGGTGGTGACATTTCCAAAGATGGTCGCATACAGCAGAGCTAAAAGTCAGAAAAACACAGTGAAACTTCTGACCCAGTCACCTAGTGGATGAGGGGGAGGGTGTTTCCGACCTCGGAATACTGTAAGCAGAGCCGAATCTCCCGGCTTTCTGTCGCTACCAGGATAAGATGTCCCTGCAGTTACAGCTAAGATGCTGCAAGATACCATGACCTGACAGCTTGACCTAACAGTCACAGCTAAAAGTAGGCTGCATGCTTCTCTAACCTGGTAAAACAATAATACGGTAAGCACATTAAGATGACAGAATCCTATTTTAACAGCTCCATGTGTAACAAATGTAAAATTCGCTTCTTCAATTATGCATCAAAAGTGTCTAAGAAGTATTTACATTAGCAGTAACATTAAGTTTGTGAACACTTGCCTGTAATGTCCCATATTCTACTGACCTGCTAAAGCTTTTAGAGAGGCATTGCAGACACAACACGGGCTAGTCTCTAAGGTGTACCATTCATTTCCATACAGCCCAAAGCATATCTCCACTCTCTCATGCCTGCAGCTGACAAGCTGTTCCTTTCATCAAATGTGACTCCCACTTTTTCCTAACATGCCTTCTTTGTGGAAAAGAAGCACTTCTCCCACTTGACTCGTCTTTGGCACATCTTTCCGAACCGCCTCATCTTAGTGTTGCTGTGGGGTTTTCTTACCAGTAGATTAGGCTTTGGTGGCAATTTTTACATGATTGTGGCTTCATTTCCTGTAAGGTGAATCTCTCTGCAGGTGCCCTGCATTGACGCAGTGGTTTCTCTTTGACTTTCTGCCCAGGACATTTGCAGTTCCAGAAAAACAATTTTTTATCCCACGGTTAGACTGAAAATGCCTTTTCATTTATATTTGGAACATGGATAGTGCAAATCAGCTACATTTCAGATCCATAAGGGGCAGAAAGTTTTCAGGCGACATGCTTAATTGGCAGTATTTATAAGCTTTGGAAATTTCCCAGGACTGTCTTAGTGACAGTGCCTATGATGCATTATGGGTCAGTTATGGTTATGTATTTGTTGTTTGTTTTTATTTTTATTAACCTTAAAACAACATAATTCCACAAGCCGTGCTCACTTTATCTGTTTAATTTGAGATTAAAATCTAATTATTTACCCGTTGACTCAATCAAAATACTAAATATATAGTATTAATATCAAGGGACAAATTAAGTATGATCACAAAATTAGAGGATAAATATGTTGGTCTTCATGTGGACTGTGGGAGTACCACATTCTTGACAATATATTTTCCTTTTTTCCCACAAATTTGACTTCAAACACATAGACAAGCACAATGAGTGGTGTTTTAAGTGTCTACAATATCATTTACTTTGCACATTTCCTCAGTGAGAAAGTCGTGCTGCAGTGGCCTCAAAGAGTCAGTCACTATCTCATATCGAGAGATTCTATCCACTCAAGGAGAAAACGTCTCCACTCGCCACAGTAAGATCACAGAGGTTAGGACACATATCCAACGTGATGGCTCATTGTCCACTTACTCCACTCCAGCCTGCAGGCAAAGTGTCCCTTTCCACAAACGCTCTCTCCAATTGAACAATTACCCTATCTGTGGCAGGCAAATTATCCCCCACAATTGAGCCGGAAACGGCAGCGGGACTGAGTGGTCTTTGTGATCGGGACACCATCACAGCAATGGGTGTTTACTTTTGGAAGTACAAACCTTGGAGCTTTGCTGTCAGTTTCTGTGTCCTCACTGGTTTTATTGCATCATTTTCCATGCTGTTTTAGTGGAGCGGGCCAAAGGTTAATGCATGCAGGCGAGCTATGACAGGTTCTGTGAAGGAGGAAACGCTAAGGTGGAGCTGTTAGAAAATGGTAAAAAGGAGAAAACTCTGCAAAATAAATAAACGATTTTCTAATGGATGGTCAGAATAAAAAATGCAAAAACATTTTGTTAATGGCTAAATGTGTAAAATCCAAATCTGACTTGGCTTATACGACATAGTTCGTCACATGACACCATGGGGTCCTGGCATTTTGTCATAAGACTTAATACAAATGCTAAACATCGAAGAGTTCATTGAAAATTACAGGCAGGGGAAAATCATCTGAGTAAAATTGAATTAGCACATAGACCACTCTTTGCTGATGTGATGAGCAGTCTTCAGACAGACACTCGTACAGCAGGCTGTAAGGGGCGCTGAATATGTCACTTTTTATCATCGACAAAGCCGAGTCTTAAACTCTCAGCTGTGATTGGGGGATGCGGTGAAATGTGAATTGCAGCACAGAAGACAACGCGATGTGTGGATTTCCTAAACCTCACACAGATAAAGATTCATGTCTCTTACTAAATACTGAATCGTTTTCTTATAGAGTAGTGCACTGAGATAGTAAACTGTGAGCTAAAGTAATGACATCCATGCAGGAGAATAGGTTTATGTCGATCATACGTGCTAATTTTCACTGTTGACTTTCACAACTAGCTTTCAATATGAATTATAAAAGAATGTTTACTGTGGTAAAAATAACCTGAAAAAAAAGTCTTAATACAATATTAATGAATTTCTTACAAGCCCCACTATAAACTTCTATATGTGTAAGGTCAGCCCTTTATTGATTAGAAGAAAGGAAGAACCTATTCTCAGGCATATCTGTGACGATTGTCCCAAACCCCTATGACACATTTGCCATATGTTGCTTTACCCACAGCTGTTGCATCGCCAGCAGGACTATGGAGAGCGAACAGTCTTGACTTGCGTGCAAGTAAGTGTGTCCAGATTGTTCAGCCTCCTGCAAAGTTTTGCTGGCACGTTACGAGAAAATGAATGCATGAATGGGATAAAAAGAGAATGAAAGGACATATGTCTGTTGTCTGCAGAAAAACCATTTGGACAGAGAAATGTGTTGACCGTGGAGCATCCACGAATAACGTTTCTAAGATGTCTGACATTTAGGCTGTCGTCAGCTCTGATGGCTCATGGCATTATATCACAATGTCACTGATCATCTCAAAGTACTGGTCCATTAACAATCCCTCCCGCCAAGAGCAGAAATAACGATACTATGAAACTGTTACGTAATGTCAGATCTATTAAATGTGTTTCCACTTCAGCTGGTGTTTAAAATCACGTCAGCATGTATTTGAAAGAGGACTCGAAAGGCTTTCTGCAAACTTTGGTTATGAAGTACTTACAGCCCACCATCATCATGGCCACAGAGAAAATCTTCTCGCCATCTGTCGTCGGAGCGATGTTGCCAAATCCGATGGTGGTGAGGCTCGTCATGGTGAAGTAGAGGGAAGAAATGTACAGGGTGTCTTTGCTGGGGCCGCCCTCCCACTGGCCCGTTCCGCTGGCGTTGTAGCGATAAGGTGTTCCGATACTCAGGGCCAGCTGGTACAGCCAGCTGTCCGTCTTGATGCTGTTGGTGGTCTGGTCAATGACCTCGTAGTCCCCAATGCTGTACCAGATGCAGGCAAGCCAGTGGGCCACCAGGCCGAAAACACACACCAGTAGAACCAGAACGGCCGCCCCGTACTCCAGGTAGTGGTCCAGTTTCCGGGCCACTCGGCCCAAACGCAGCAGACGGATGACTTTTAGGGAACTGAAGAGGCTGCTGAGGCCCTGCGGGGTGAGATGGAGAGAGACAGTGAGCCGGACATGCAAAATGTGGATGGTGAAGGCTGACTTTTAGGCAAGCACGCGACTCATCTGACAGTCATTTCATAATTCAAAGCACACAAATGGCAAAAACTCTTGAAGAAAAAATAACCGAACATTAGCTTTTACTTTACCCATTGTGATTTTATATGAACTGATTCATTTTACCATTACAGGTCTCTTAATGATAAAAAAAACGGATATACGTAAGTCACATCAACACCTGGCTACTGTGAAAATGTCTACTGTGGGAGCTTCATCATTCAAACTCACTGGGAGAAGAGAATCTTCTACTCGTGTGCTATTCCTGTGGAAGTGTGAAAAGTCTCGAAGATGACTTGTAGGAGAGCCATGTGGGACAGCATCCTTTATAAGAAACAGTGGGGCAGAAAATGTTCTCCGTTAACATGTGTAAATTAACACTGGCAATCAATTTAAACAGTCTAAAGGATAAATATCATGGCCATTTAGAGGCTTAAATTGTAATTTGAGGGCCCACTAAAAGAGCCTTTATTTTTCACAGGAAATGTAAAAGCTAACAATGAAAATAAACTGGGAAAGAAAAAGTTACTCGCCTCATCTACGTGTTCAAATGCATTGATAATGTCGTACGGCAGGCAGGACAGCAGGTCGATGACAAACCACGTCCTCAGGTAATTCATCCGAATCAGGCTGGCGTCTGATATGACCTCTCCGGCTGGACCCACGAAAGTGGTGTGAAAGTTGAGCACGATGTCTACAAGAAAGATGATATCGACCACGCTGTCCACCACGAGCCAGGCCAAGTTGTTATGCTTGGTCCGGAAGGAGACGTTGTAGGGCACCATGATGGCGGTGTAGAAGGTGAGGATGAGGATGACCCAGTCCCAGGTCGTCTTGAAGGTGCAGTAGTGGAGGATGATGTGTGGGGGGGTTTTCGGGGCCTCCTGCTTGTACTGAGGGAGAATATCTGATCCGAGCTGAAGAGCCTTTCAATGACAGAAAATATTTACCAGCATGAACACTCAATCATATGTTTTCTGCAAACTGGCACTAGTTTTCTGCTGAGATCGGCCGTTTTGGCCCGCTCACCTCGGCCAGCCTGGAGGGCTTGTGGCTGACCTCGGCCTTACTCAGCGGCGCCAACTGTTGCACCAGGTTGCGGTTGTTGGTCAGGGCTCTTGTGAGCCGAGCAAACTTTGTCCATCCTGCACACAGGCGAAGATTTTTATGAAGGAACGCAGTGGTCAAAGGCAACATGTGACGGTTGGAATCTGGACATCGCATCATTAACGATTCAGCTCAGAGCGATGGATTGTGTTCTTAATATGTAACAATAATAACATTTAATCTCTATCAAGTCTCCGCGATGGACTGGAGGACCATCCGGGGTGTACCCCGCCTCTCACCCGGTGAATACTGGGACCCCATTAGGGAATGAAACGGTCCAGAAAATGGATGGATTGATATCTATCAGGTCTAAATAGAGTCACTAAAACTGAATGTACTACTGCATTATTAGTGATTCATGAACGTATACAAATTTGTAATGGGGATAATGAGGGCGTGACTGCACAGATGTATGCTGAAGAGACTTTTACAGTGAGACCTGTCCTTCTTTGCACAGGCAGCATTTTTACTCAGCTACATGTGGCCTCACTGTCTTTCCTTCCTACTGCTGATCTATATAAAGACTCTTAATCCCTGGGGACATGGCACTGCACAGGCCTTGAGAAGCAGTGCTCACGACCTGAACACACGACACCTGGACAGCTCTACCTTACACACCAAGAGACAAATGTACGTTAAGTCCCAGCCACTCATGTGGACTGTGGTTTTGGCTTTACTTCATCCTCCACTGTCTTTCACTGGGTGGACTCTGAGATCAACCTGACATTTCAGGATCAAATACAGTGAAATATTGTCAAGCTGAAGCAGAACTTGATGACTCTCACCTCTGGCTGACTCCTCTTCAATGGGCTGTTTGAAAAGTGTAATGTCTCTGAAGGTGCAAAGGAAAAGCACTACCTTGTCATTTTCATTTCTGATTGGGGCAATCTGCATGTAAAGCCATATTGGTTTTCCTGTTGGAAACAAGTAGAATGCAAGACTAGTGTTGTGAAATGAATTTTTTTACCGCAAGCAATCGTGTAAATCACTTTTAATGTTTCATTTTTCTAAAATATTTTGTCATACTCACTATTCTTTGTGTAGAGAAGCACCTCATGGAAATTGGACTCATAGTTGTTAAAGGTCAGTCTGATTTTGTCTACAGTCTTTTTATCTGTGAGGTCACCGTACATGAAACTGCAGAACAAGAAAGAGAGACATTTCATAATATAGAATGGTCCAACATTTAGCCCATACACAGTTCTCCCTGTCTGTGCACAGACCTTCCAGGTAAAACCTTTTTCCAGGATCGGCAAATAAAGGAGGTTTAATTATGTAAAGCATGCTCTGCATAATTTATTTGTGGATGTTCATTTCCAGGCAGGCATCAACAAAGACATTGTTAATGCAAATCGTGTGTGCTGTGATCACGTAAGTAAAGAAACATCCACTGTAACTTTACGATTAGCTTCATTAGATCACAGATGGCGTCTTACTTGCATGTGCTGCTCCTGTGCATGACCTCAGCTCTGTGGTATCCGGACAGCTTGCAGAATCCATCGTTGCTGTATACGACTGGCCACTCTAAAATCTGTGCATTCCCCAACAAGAAACTGGTTTCTGGGACAAAACACAGAAACATACTAGACTGACACCACAGCCAGGTGCATGGGCAGCTGCATCAGCTACAGTCCCCACTAATGGTACAAGTATTTCTAATGTGTTACCACAAACTAAATTACAATTTTGCCAGCTGAAACTGTGTGGTTTCAGTCCTCCTTACTGGTGTTTTTTTAGTAAACCTAAGTATATATCATGAGTATGATTAACTCAAATCATAATAAAAAGTTCCAATAAAGTATCATTGTTTTAATTTACTAATATGTAAAATTGACTAATAATCAAATCTACAATCTTTAAAGCATTGAAAATCATATGAGACATATTTGATGCTGAAATTTTTGCAAGTAAGACATTTATGTTCCATTCTCAGTGAAAATGAAATATTAATGAACATCAACGTTGTCTCAGAATCACCACATTTAGGATGCTGTCTACAGTATAGTGAGGTAGAAGCAGAGATAGATGTTCCAGCAATATGAGAGCAGATTCAAGACATTATTCCTTAAATTTCAGGGGGGTCCGTTTATGCATGTCGTCCTCAGTTTTCAAGAGAAACTCAGACAATAATGATTTAATTTTAGCTTCCCCTCAGGGCCATTCCGGCTTGTAAAATATTAATGACTGAACCAAAACAAGAGGCTGGCCAGTTGTGCCCTGCACGGTCCATCTCACAGCAAAACTTTTGAAAAGTGGTGTTGCTGAAAAGGACCAGTTACTCTTCTGAAGGGGACATCAGTGCACATCCAGAGGTTAAACGGCACAAAGAGGCGCCATATGAACAAATCATATTAACGATACCCTGAAAGGCCAGAAAGGTGTCCTCTTTTAGAAATGGCCGCAAATCCAATCTTTAAAAGAATGATAATGGATGTTCTCATATTTACTGTCTGAGTGTACATGTTCCTATGAGTGCTAACAAGAAAATCAATTAAACAATGTCAAAGGAGAGGCCCTAAGCATAACATCTTGAGCTTTATTATAAAATCTTGAACAATTGCTATATAGCTAAACTATTTATCATCTCCACTGTGTAAATACTAAATAAGTTAAATAAGTTATTCTTTAATGTTGATAACAATATGACAGAATTGTATTAACATCCATTCATATATATATATATATATATATATATATCTTTTCACTAGAGAGAGGAGCTTAAACCCTCTAATTTGATCGTTGTTATTAACATGAAAGAATAACTTAACTAGTTTAACTAGTAACTGAGTCCATATGTAGCACATATTTTAGCATAGGACATCAATCAAAGGTGTATGAAGATGACTGTGGCGCGATTACATAATTCATCAGTGCGCATTAAAATTTGTGAATGGCAGAAAAAAAGCTGTGTAACTTAGAAAACTAATTTGAATGGTCCTTCACCAGTTTTTCTATCCATTTAAACACCATCAAATTGCCCCCAAACCCCTTCAGCCGGAGCTGAAAAGCTGAACTGACTCCATGTTTATCAAATAAATATCAATAAAAATGACTTCTTTCATGTCATTGTGTGGAGGAAAAAAACTCACCGCTGGAGCGCCGGACAATGTTCTCCAGGAAAGTGTTCTGCGGAGCCACCAGCCCCCTCTTGCCCCCATGCATGATGGAGGGCTGCGGACGGAGATTCGCTGCTGCGCGCCGGGGGTCGTGCTGCTATCAACAAGCCCTCTGAAGACTGACCCACAGCAGCGTGCGCCACCACCGTCAAGCTCCTGTCAGCAGCTACCAGCGCGTCCCGGAAAACAGTCACAACAATTAAAGCTCTTCAGTCTGGCATTTATTTTGACCATGAATACAAGGTTTATGGCGCTCACTAAATAAAGACCGATGGTGGAAATCACACGAGTAAAAGCATGCAGCGGATACAATAATCAAATGTTGTGCTTCTACCTTTAAAAGATCACAATCATTTTGAAGGAAACTTCTTTGATTTTTCAGCACTTATGTTCTTTGTATATTTGACTTCACTGAAATTATTTATTATAGTCTTGTCATTATAATGCATTAACTTTCTTCTTTATTTTTTGCACCATTGCCATTTATTAACATGAAATATAACCCTGCGATCCAAGTTCTTATTATAAATGATCCTGTAAATTCAATTGTTCTGCTGTATATGATATATAAATATAATTGAACCATCTTATGCTATTAATTCATCAGAATGTAACTTTCAAAAATATTTTCTTCATCATATCATTAACAACAAAAAATAATACCACCTTTCTCCATTACTTTAGTGGTGAATGTTTATTAAATCTGAAGAGAGGTTTCTGATATTCAATCATTAATCCTGATACTAGTGGGATGGCAAAATGCACTGCAAGCAAACATCTCCTGTAGACTGCAGGAAATCCAGTGTGATATGTTAGAGAACCAAGTCCACACAGTATAAGAATACACAAAGATATTAACACATTCTGTTAAAGCTCATGATTACAGTGATGGGAACCGTTCATGTTGAAAATGTTCTAACAAAGGCTGTGACTTTCCAGCATTTATTGTCTTTTAAAGTGAAGCATGGTGAATCATTTGGCTAATTTTCTTTCATGACTGAGTTGATCTCACTCAGATGAAGTAGGCATGCCATTTTTAAAGTAATAAATTGATCACTGAGCTAGCAGACCAGGCTGAAACTGCTCTGCTGTGGGATTTCTTCTGCACAGTCCAGTCTCTTTGTTGAAACCATTTTCATGTTATAATGATTTTTTTTTGGGGGGGGAGTCTGGAATGCAGACAAGCTAGTTTAATGCCAGTATGCAATGTGTAAAACATGCACTCAGGCTGTGGTGCAGACTGTGGTTTGGCTTCGTCTTTATCTGATATGAGCCAGTATGCCCTATATTTTTTTCTGTTTATCATGCCATATTTTATGTTTGCTCTTATCTCCCCTGTTTAATCTCTTATGCTCCTGTGTTCCGTGCTTCTATTTTATTATTGTAAAGCACTTTGTCTTTTAACCCAAACTTTCTTTTTTTTATTCCCCCCCAAAAAACTTATTGGTCTAGGCCTCTGTTAGTGTATTTTAGCATTTAAGTGTATGTTACTTATCAACACAATAGCTCAAATAAGTATTCAACCGCTCCATCTACATAATAGATGAGACGTTTGAGGCCGCTTGGATGTCCGCCATCTGTTTAGGGCTCAGCAGTCGGAAGTACTCGCTCGTTCTGAGCTTTGAGCGACACACATTAAGGCAAACGAAGAAGAAATCTAACCGCAGATGAGGAAACCGAGCGGACCCGCTACTAACCGTCTGACGCAGTTAGTCAGCCGCTTAATTAACCTCACTAAGCGTAGAGTAATGGTTAACTCTAGCGGACTTTGGATGTAACCGCCTCGTAAGCTCACGCAGTTGCACAAAATCGGCGTGTTGAATGCTGAGACCAGGTATTAGCGAGGTGTCACCGCTCCGCGCTGCTAGCTCAAACCGGGGCATTTTAAGGAGGAATGAATCGGCCGCCGAGCTTCACTTCTGCTTAGCTTGCTAGATGATGAGCGGCTGTTTTGTGACAGAAAACTGAATTGTGCTGTGAGTAAATCAACTTGTTGTCGTAGAAATGGCCAAAGCAGCTGTAAAGACGTTTGTACAGATGTGTAATTATCTTCAAGAACCCCGCCATGTAGCGAGGTTCCAGAATTTCTGCGGCGTCGAAGGGACATTTCCGGATAAACGAATCCAGCCGGACAGTGGACGGCCGGAGCCGGACTGTCCCGGGCTGAGGAGGAGGGCCCAGCCGGGGGCTCAGAGCTCAGACGAGAGCATGGGGAACGGGGATGCCGCCGCATCGCCGGTTAACGGGATGCAGGGCGAGAGCACCGCCGGGCCCGACTGTCCATCAGCGGCCGAGCTGGAGCCGGACAGGACCAGAGCAAAGCCCCTCCGGAGAAACTCCCTGACCGGGGACATGGGTCAGGAGTTCCTGATCCACAACAAGTTCCTCTTCTACCTGTTCACGTTTGGGACTGAGCTGGGCAACGAGATGTTCTTCATCATCTTCTTCCCTTTCCTCTTCTGGAACATCGACGCCCTGGTCAGCCGGAGGCTCATCGTGGTCTGGGCTTGGAACCTGTTCGTGGGACAGTCCACCAAGGACTTGGTCCGCTGGTCGCGACCGGCCTCACCTCCCGTGGTGAAGGTGGAGGTCTTCTACAACTCCGAGTACAGCATGCCGTCCACACACGCCATGACGGGCACGGCCATACCTTTCTGTGTCTTCATGCTGACCTACGGTCGGTGGCAGGTGAGCATGTCTGCAAACACCAAGCTGCAAGACACCAGCCAAACTCTGATCTGTTCCCCAGTCACATGTCGGTTGATATGACCGATTCCGTTTATTTGGTCAAACGTATCAGTCAAGTTGAAGTGTCTGCGGTATAAATAGTGCAGCCTGTGCACAGATGGAGACATGGATGAGTAGGATCCAGCTTCTGGCATCCAATGGTCCCGGAGGCCTCAGGGCAACTGTTTTTCCCAGTTCAGAAAGGTCTTTAACTGATATTCTAATTTCCCAGCCTCTAGCTGTTCTGCTTGAGGTTTATCCATAGCCTGTTTTTCTATTTATCTCATTCATTTCTAACCAGTCTGCCTTTAAAAGTTGAGACAGAAGGCGATTTCACAGTAATTCGTATTTTTGTTTAGGTTGCAGAGCACAGCATACTTCACACCATGCCTTTCCACAACTTGTATTTTTATCACTGTGTTACTAATGCGATTATGGCACAAATTCACTGTCACAGTTGCATTTCTCTCCCAGCAGGAATATCTGCCAATAGTTGTCTGTTCAGCTCTAATCTACCTTCAAAAAGATCAGAGTGGAATTAATAACCACACGGAGCACCTAATCGAATTAAGAGGGAAAAGAATCGCATACATTTTCTTGTCAGAACTGCCCTGGAGATTAGTCTATCTGAAGCAATGGAGCGAACAACTATGAGCTGATCTTCCCCGTCTGAGGACGAACAGCAGCTCAGAAAAACATCGAAAGCAGAAGCGTGTTCCAGGTCCAGATCCGCATAGCAAACATTACATTGTTGAGGTGGACTAACAGGTTGTGTCAGGCAGGGAGCTATTTCTCTCTCTATAAATACATCTATCTCTTAGGCAAAGGGAAAGTTGAGTTCTTTTCCTGGTATTGACAGTCATCAGTGTGTTAAAGGTCTGTGACAAGGAATGTTTTAGAGGATCGACGCAAACAGAGCACACAAAGCCACAATGAGTGTCTTAATGTGGAGGGTTTCTATGTCATATCAGATCCACTGATATGATTAATGCATAAATGAATGCAGAAAGCCTGTAATGTTCTAAGGAGCTAAGAGTACTGCTGAAAAATGTATTTTGATATATATTTTTGGGGAGACACTGTAAGCAAATAGGCACAAAACAAGAGTGTTTTCATTTCTGCTTTCAGTGTCCAGCAGTTTTTACACTCATAGACACGTGTAGAAGTATGACCTCCTGACCAGTTAGAATATCGGCCCCACTGCATGAAAACGAAGGCAGAAGTCAGCGCGGCGTCAGAGGCAGAGACAGGGAAAGGAAGCAGCAGAGGAACCGACACAAAGGAAGGACATGCTGCGCTGGGTGGGGAGAGGCCAAACAGGAGGTCTCCACCAGGCAGGAAGAGCTCTGCACCTGAAGCAGGCTTTAGTCTCTGTGCCTCTGCCAGGGGGCTCTGAACTCCACACACACAGCTGTGTGAACTGCCTGAACCTTCTTTCGTGACTTCTACGTGGAAAAAAACTAACACAGTTTGGAGAAAGAGGTTTCAAAAGATAAGAGGCAGGCCATAAAGGCAGAAGGTTATCTGTACGGTGTGAAGCTCGTCGGCTCGGCTGTAGGTGGGACCAGAGGGATTTTGGCCGTTGGTTCGATCAGGCCACCTCACAGCTCGCACTAATAGATGACCACGTGCTGTATTTAGTTTTCAGAGGACAGACCCTTAGATCTCCCTTCTCACACTTATTCATGTTTAATGTAGAATGAGCCGTAATTTGACCCCACAAGGCCTGATGTTTTCAGAACCTTCAGCTCACAATACAACCTACCTCTGCTTCTTCTTGTTCTTCTTCTTAAAAAAAAAGGCAAAAACTTTTACATTTCCACAGGTTCCTGTTTATTTCTGCATACTGCCACTCAGCAGATCCAGAGATGGTAATCACGTTAAACACACTCACCGAACGCTGTTGTTGTTGTCAGCATGCTGATGTTAGCATTTGGTTAGATGAACTGCAGAGCCAAAGTACAGGGTGACAGAGCTGTTAGCTCCAACGGAGGCTTTCTCACAGTGACCTTTGCATGAAGTAAAACTCTTACCATTGCTACTGATTTTTATTTTGTTATGTTATTGTCAGTATTGTATTGAAAAAGATAACTGTGATGCTCCTGACGGGGCTCCCCTCGTAACAGGGACCGCGACATAAGGTCAGGCTTTCTGAACAGTGCCGTGTCCACCTTTCTGTGTTCCCCTGTAGTACCCTTTCCTTTTCGGATTCTGTGTGGCCCTCAGCTGGAGCGTCCTGGTCTGCGTTAGCAGAGTCTACATGGGCATGCATTCTGTTCTGGTAAGCAAATCAAATCATTAATATCAAATGAAAATAGCCACTGAAATATACATGACATTGAGAATATTGAGTGGAGTTGCACCCCCTGGATCCCATGCTGCTTCTACTTCCCCAAGTTTATTCGGTGAAATGTATACTTGAGCATGGTCAACGTGTTCTGTAGAAGCCTTTGTGGAGTCTTGAACTTCTCTTGGTGTGGCTTGTGCAACATCACCTGCACCTCAGGAGGTTGTAAATAATAGTTATCTGTAACGGCTCCTCCTTTCTTTATCATCCAGGATTCTTCCAGCAGCTAACTATCAGGCTATCAGGTCACACAGGTGTCATTACATGTCACGAACTTTCCCCAAAAGATTTCAAAACTTTCAGACTAATGACTAGTAAGTCTCTCTCCAACATTACAGATTTCAAAAGTCTGTATTTGCTTTTCTCTGATATATATAGAAAGTGTCTCAAAATGTTACAAAGCATTTGCCCCATTCATTTAATCATCAGCTGAAATCCCCAGAAAACTGAGAAAAATAAGTTTCCATGAACTTTACTGAAGTTGTCACATCAAAGCTCCTCAGGAAACAGGAAGAGTTAGGTGAGCTTGCATGGACGGTGACAGGAGCAGTCAGAGCAGGGCCAGTGGCTTCAGTTTTCTTTCAAATGTTCATAAAGGAAAGGGGGCACGCCATTAACAGAAACACATTAACCCATTTTCTTTATGCTTAAATGTCATTTATAACTTTTGCATAAATTAATGAGCCACCGATATTATTGGAGCTTTATCTGAAAATGACATGCCAGTAAAGCTCGTAAAGAAATTAAAGCCAGTAGATGGGAATAGATTAGATTATGTGACCTGGCAGCTGCTTTCATGGATTGTAACTGATTTTATTGGATATTGTTTATGTTCTGCATCTTCCAATAGTAACACCTGTAGCGCAGGCAACCGCTCACCTGATTTTTACAACAGTTTTTTAATGGCAGTCAACGAAAACCAATGTACTGGGAAAACCTGCTGAAAAGGGTGGTACAGCGCCTCCCTCAGGGCAGAAAGAGCAAGACATCTGTTGACTTCTGTAGATTAGTTTCAGTGGTTTATGTGGTGTTATTAAAAATGTGACGAAAGAACATGCAACAGTATCATTTTCCTTTGGGACGAATATTAATTTTTTAATTTCATCACCGCAGGAGGTAATCACAGGCTTCCTGTACAGCCTCCTGGTTCTTGCCTTCTTCCAGCCAATCTTGGAAAAGATCGACCACTACTACATGACGGACCACTACGCTCCGCTCATGATCATCGTGTCTCACGTGAGCCTGGGACTGGTGGCGTTCTCCCTGGATTCGTGGAGCACCTCCCGGGGCGACACCGCCCAGGCCCTGGGCACCGGGGCGGGCGCCGCACTGGGCACCCACGTGAACTACCAGCTGGGGCTGCTCCTGGACCCGCCCCTGTCCTCTCTCCCTCTGGCTCTGCCGGCGGTCAGCATGGGCCCCGTGCTGCGCTCCCTGGTGCGCTTCCTCATCGGCGTGGCCGTGCTGCTGCTCACTCGGATGGCCATGAAGGCGGTGACTGTTCCGTTCCTGTGCCGGCTGTTCGGGCTGCCCTCCGATGACGTGAGGCGGGCCAGGCAGCACATGAGGGTGGAGCTGCCCTATCGCTACATCGTCTACAGCGTCGTGGGTTTTAGCTGTGTCTCCTTCGTGCCTGTCCTCTTCAAGGCCGTCAACCTTGCCTGAGCGTCGCGTCCAGACTGCCGTGTCCCGCTGACGTCACGAAGACCAACTGCACTTGGAAACATGCTGCTTATTTTGACCCGAGAAGCTCCAGTTCTGCATGATAGAAGCCAAGTGAACCATATATCTGATATCGACGTTTTCACTGTCGAGGACTCCAACTAAAAGACTGAAACCAAATAAATGAATTGGTCCTGTATTAAGTACCGTGTCCACCAAAACTCATGAGCAAACTATTACAACATCAGTGAGCAACGCCGCTGTGCTGGGTTGGGCGTTTCCTTACCATGATAAGAGCCATTGCAACTGATTTGGGCTAAATGTGACCTGCTGTCAGAAATGTACCATAAGTTTGAATATTTGGCTGAAATGCTTTTCCATTAATGCAGTATAGTTTTTTTGGATTAAATAAAACTGATTTCAGTTTTAGGAAATTACTTTGTTATAAAATGAAAGAATGTAAGATATTTGTGGCCAGTTTTAAAAAATCTGCCAAAGGAACCCAGCAGGTTTGAAGTAAAGAGTTAAAAGTATTGAGATGGATGCATTCACTGTCGGTCTCTTTGTTGGATTTGTTACTCCGTCAGTTACATGTAATATCACCTGTGTTGTCTACGCATTCAAGTATTAACGGAACCTTCACAGCACACAAAGTCTATCAGATGTACTGTAATGATGAGGTCATCATTGAGGAATCTGTTATGCACTTCCCACATTTGTATATGTTGTTGGAGAAGTTATTCCTCCAAAGAATAGTTAAGAGTAGATTAAGTAAAACAAGGAGACACTCAATACGTCTCTTGTGTTCCTGATTGGTTCGTAATAGCCTGGAAGCAATAAAGAATGCTCTGAACATTAAAGCTCTCAGGTGTCAGGATGGTTCATGTAGACTTTTTAACTTTGAGCAGGTCTTTTATGCCAATTCTGTGTTTTTTACATTACCATAGTCAGCATTATCTCACCGCCTCTTTTTTTAACCCAAATATAAGTTTAGTGCACTCTGAATTATTAGTTTGAACAAACAATAAAGAGGAGCAAATATTTTTGATAGATTATTTTATCATTGCTATTATCTTGGTTTGAAATATTGCACCAGTGTTGTAAATGATCTATTCTTTAATATAATGAACATATTAAGCGGACCCTGGTGTACAACAGGATGTGGAGGCTTTTGACCCTGTAACTTCTGTGATTGATGTCACTGTTTGTAATTTGTTGTAATGTTTTATTGATGATTAATTCTTGCATTATTGTTGAAATATTCATCCCCGACTTTTGTCATCAATTCTCCCAGCTTTTTATCTGTTATGCAAAGAGTGTGATTATACAAATATTTTAAAACAAGAAGGAATAAAATTGTAGAAAACAATTAAGGCTGCTCTCATTTTTCTGGTAAGATATCATTTTAAGGTAGTTTGTGTTCCGACCTGATTTTAAAGCAGTGACTCTTCTTCTCTACAAAAATAAAGCGTTGATCCATATGAATAATTAAGGGCTTACAATATTTTTTGTTGAGAATTTTCACAATTTAATCCTCAAAAAAGGACAGATAGTTGAACTGTGCAATGTTTATTGCCCATATATTTTGGTATAATGTCTTGCTTGAATTGAGTTACAGTAATCCAAATTAAATACATCAGTTCAGGACAAAGAAAGATGCCCAACAGGCTTGAAAAAACTCTGATCAGATCATGATAGTTAATCTTACCCTGTATAAAGAGTTCCTGTCCTTGTTTTTCATTTTACTTAATTTTGGGTGAAAGTTTAAATTTAAGACACAATGCAAGGTGCAAAACCCAGCACAAGTGAACACAGCTTCATAGAATGTAAAAACATCCAAGAGGAAATTATTTTCATCTATATGAGGGTTTATGCCACCTCTGGAGGAATTCAGCTTCTGTACACCCATTAAAGGTTAGTGAGAAGGTTAGTCAGAAAATTTGACCTTTTAGATGCAAACTTTGCAGGTTTTTATATTCTATAGAGTGCCTGCTATGATTTGTTTTGCCAATGTGTAACAAAATAAAAGCTAGACAAATGAACTTGGGAACCTTTATTCTGAAAAAGGGAACTCATTGAAACCGGAAGTCCGTTTTTGACAAACACCGTCCAAAACGTCTGGTCTGAGACAAGTGACAACCGGCTGACTGCTCAGAGGCGCAGAAGAATTCAGGAGAAGCCTGTCTTTGATTTAATTCTTGAACCACAACGAAAGCCGTTATTTTACATGTTTTTTTAGCTTATTTTACAATTGCCCTTTCTAACTGCCATCGTCGCGGCCAGTGTTGAAACTATGCTGTTTTTGCAGAAGCTGAAGCGCTAGTTACTCTTAAGTTAGCTTGACCTGCTGGACAGCAAAGTCTTTTGGTCAAATACGAGCAACGTATTTAAACTTTTAGCGGAGAAACATATTTTCAAATGCCTCGCTTGGATAAGTCAAGTGGCAAAGGGGCAAAAAGGTAAGTAAACAATCTCAACAAGAAGGCGAGAGGTGTTCTCTTTATTTAGATTACATCCACTCTTCCTGATTTTGAACAATGTCCGTTCAGAAGTGGGCTCAGTATTTCATGATATGATCATGAAGGGAAAATAAATGTACTCAAATGTCGTAGTTTTCAAATGCACTTTAACGTCTCAGGCATTCTCTTTACACCTCAGGCCAAAACTGGACTGGAGGTTTGTTGAGAGGTTCTGCAGCATCCAGAGGGTCCTGTTCCCGTCATGGACCAGTCAAAGTGTCCTGATGTTTGGGACTCTGCTTGGAGTTACTCTGACAGGTAAAAGCTGCTCTTACAAAATCGGGGGGGGATTTACGGATAAATAAAGAGGAAATGAATCAGTAAAGTCAGGCTGGTTGTGAAATGTTTGACATTTTAGCTCGGTGTCTCTTATGAAGTCTTGCTTCCTTCCTGTTGGGCAGTGATTCTGTGGCATCTTGAAGCCACACTTTCTTGCTGACCATCAGCTCAAACAGTATTTAAGAGTCTACAATTGAGCTGTGTTCCTTTCCTGTTATCAGAGCAGCTGATCATTTACCAAGTGGGTGTCCTTCCAAGTCACTTCTACCACGTGCTGGCAGACAAAGATATCTCTGGCTTCAGGAGTCTGATGGGAGCAGCTATGGTGCTCATTCTACTCAACTCCACGGTAAGCTGTTTATCACTGAGAGGTGATTGAAGTGGACTGTGTCTTGCTGTTACAGTTGTGTTTATCTCTCTCTTTTGGGAACAAATAAGACCTTGTTCAGGTGATTTCCATTCTTACAAGAGGGGAACTTGTCTTGTGTCCAAAGTCAGCTGCTTGTCCCCTGATTCTTCTGATCAGTTAGCAGTGTTTAGGTATTGATCATTTAAAAGGCTGCTGTTCCTGCAAGCTTATGTAGTCCATGACAGATTTCTGCTTAAGGTAACAGCTTGATGTATTACATATCAATCATCAAAGTGTTTGTGATCTCAAACCAATGCAAAATGTAATTAATTTAAGTAAAGCGTACCTTTGTCTCTATCCTGGAAATTGCTGTGTTTCCAGATGTTTTTACAAAGCAAGCCCATGCTTGCCACTTCATCAGATTGACAAGACGTATTTGTTTTGAACCCTTAAAGATTTCCCCTGTGTTGAGTTTTTACTCAGATTCTTTTGCCGAGAAACTTTAACATATTACTGTAATGTTTTAAAGTTTCTATCCTAATTAAACAGATAAGTTCTGATTAGAGTATTTCGGTTAGTTAAATTTCTCATTAAATGGCATTGGCTGATCTCAAACGCGGATTCCGAGCTATTGTGTTTCTCTGCTGCAGTTGAAAAGTCTGGATCAGTACATTTGCAATCAGATGTATGTTAGCTGGAGGAAAACGCTAACGGAGAGCCTCCATTCAGCCTACTTCCAGGGCAGAGTCTATTACACCCTCAATGTTCTCAGAGAGGACATCGATAACCCGTAAGCATGAATATTTTTTTCATCTGACAGGGTCACATTTACATGGTTTTATGCAGTAAATCGTGTGGCTGTCAGAACATTTGCTGGGATTGTGCCTGGATGTGTCTGGTGTAATTTCTGTTGGGTGGTAACCTGCAGAGACCAGCGGATCAGTCAGGACACAGAGAGGTTGTGTAAACAGATGAGCACCATGGCCAGCCGTCTGATTGTCTCACCATTCACACTGTCCTACTACACCTATCAGTGCTTTCACAGGTGAGCATGCAGCATAAAATAATCAGATTTCAGTTTTTACTTGTGTAAGTGGCAAACACAGTCAGTCTTTTGGATGCCAATAAGGTGTGTCAGTTGACTCGCATAAACCAGACCGACAGTGATCGTAGTGCCTTATTACACTTATTACACCAAACAAAACAAAAAACTTCCATGCCTGTATTCATCATGCTCTGCATTATCTTCATGTGGGAAGAGAGGTACCAAAGTAAAGCTGCTTTGTTTTGCAGCACCGGCTGGATCGGTCCAGTGAGCATCTTTGGATATTTTGTAGTTGGAACTATTGCCAATAAAATCCTCATGGGACCTATTATATCAACCCTGTTTGATCAGGAAAAACTGGAGGGAGACTTCAGGTAACGTTGCTTCATGGTGTGTTGCTTGTCTGCTTAAAAAGATGTTTTGTTCTACTGAGCTCCTCTCTGCTTTAAATGGACTGCTGTAATGTATTTGACTGTTTAGAGAGAAGTTGGGTGTTTTTTTAAGCTGGAGTTTTCTCTAGTGGTTATAATCAAGGAGATCAGTTCTATGTTAAGAGGAAATAACTGTGGACTTTGGCCCATTGCCTTTTTCCTCTTTAATAACACAGAATACGTACCAGCTTTGAACTTAGTTTAAACGTTGAAATAATCAGATATTTTATCATTTCAAACAAGGTTGTTTAAGTCTGTAAATAAACACAGCTATACATATTTACATATTCTTCCTGTTCTTTGATTTTTTTCCAGATTCAAGCACATGCAGATCCGTGTTAATGCAGAATCTGCAGCTTTCTACAGGTGGGGCACTACCAACATATCATGTGCTTGTGTGGTGTAGGCAGTGGCTGCTCCAAAGCAGAAAGTATCATAAGTTTGCAGCATCGTTTACACAGAAAACCTTCAGTGCAGACATTTTTCCTCCCTCATTGTAGAATATAAACATTGAACACATGCTTACAGGAACTCCCCAGCAACAGAACTTTCATCTGATCTTAACATTTCTGTTTTTTGAGTATACTCCTTCGACTGACCACTGAGTGTATTTATCATTATCTTGACACATTTTCGGCCACGGGCCTACTCTTTCTGTTTCCCCAGCTGCAGACCAAAAACACAAGAATGTTATGCTTAAACTGTAGGACATTCCAAAGTACAAAGAGACCAACCAGCTAATCATGGACTCAATCAAAGAGTGAACTTAACTGGAGATTCATTTTATCTCTTCAGATTCCAACAAAAACTCAGACGTTAAATAAATCTGATGCTGCATTTTCAGAGCTGGTAAAGTGGAACACATGAGAACCGACAGAAGACTTCAGGCTCTGCTGCAGACTCAGAGGAGCCTCATAAACAAAGAGCTTTGGCTTTATAGTAATTCATACAGTTCACTCACACTCAGTCTCATTTCTGTTGAACTTGTTGACTTAACCAGTGGCCTCTGCTCTCTTTCAGTTGGAGTTAACACCTTTGACTATATGGGAGGTTTCCTCAGCTACATTGTAATCGCCATTCCCATCTTTACTGGTATTTATGACAGCCTCACTCCTGGTGAACTCAGTGCTCTCGTTAGTAAGGTATGCAGGTCTTGTTTTTTTATTTGAATTAGACCACTTTCTTTAGAAAAACACTAAATAGAACCAAGAAACATTTGAATTCTCAGTGAAGGGGAGGGAAAAAAAGCAAATTTCCTCATTTTAAGTAACTTTTAAGTATCTTTATCAGTTTGTGACAGTTTATGTGATGGTAAAAGTAAATGGTTTTTGGTAGGAAATAAATTTGACAGCTAATAAATCATCACTATCAGTGGTTTAGATAAAATCCCTCACATTTAGCTGTAGAAAAAAAGGTCACTAGATTGGCCACTAGATGGCACCAGTGTAACAAACATTGCACTCAGTTTAAGTTATTTTCCTTTTTTCTCTGTTTTTATTGTCTTTAGAAGTATTACCATGATGTGACAGCCTGCACATAGATATACTAATTTTAAACCTTTGCTGGTTTTGTTGTGTCCACTTCAGCTTGTGTCAGTCTTTTCTTCAGCCTTTGCGACTTACTTACATCTGCTTGGGATTTCTCTCTCCTCACACATATTCAGAATGCCTTTGTGTGCATCTACTTGATAAACGGCTTCACTCAGCTAATAGACCTGTCGACCACCCTGTCAGACGTGGCTGGATACACCCACAGGTATCACTCTGCATACTTAAAATCACTTCCAGCTGGATAACGACAACAGGGTTTGTGTGCCACCCTGAACTCTGTGTGTTTGCTGTGGTCAGAATTGGAGAGCTGAGGGAGGTGATGGATGACATCCTACACAGGCAGTGCGACTACGACCCGGCATCTGGGGAAAGCTACGACTTCGACAGGTTTGTGTGAGCACACTGAAGGAGTTTCATTACGTTAAAGATTTAGAAAAAGAAAATAACCAGGAGAAAATATTAGAATAGAAATGGCTTAATTGTATCATGTGTTTTTTTTCTTTTCACCTGCTTTCTTAAAAAAGTGACTTCAATGTCCACGCTGGACCTGTGGACACTGCCTTTATCCTGGACAACCTCTCATACAAATCTCCTTACTCAGAGGAGCTGCTGGTGGAGGATCTGAGTCTGAAAATCAGCCAGGGAAATAATTTGCTTGTGGTGGGCAACACAGGCACTGGAAAGACGTCACTGCTGCGGGTCCTGAACCGCCTTTGGGAGGCTGACAGCGGTGAGCAGTAGGACCAGGCCCATTTTGCACCGTTTCTTCCTAACATGCTGAGCCGCGTGGATAACCATGATGCTCAATGAGCAACAACACTAAACAGCACAGAGTGGGCCATGTATGCTCACTTATCAACAGCTGTCTCATCAGTTTTGAGGGAAAAGGGGGCAGAGTTCATGCATGATAGAAGAGGAATTTACTGAGTTTGGGATTTAACTGGTTTATATCCTACGAAAGAGAAGTCTTCGTTGTCTTATTTAATCTTTTCCCCAAGCTAAAAAAGAATAAGCCACAAGCATAAACCATCCATGGGGGGGGCAGGGTATGGGTGAGACATGCACGTATCTGCAGCTTCACGACTGTCCATTTTTCCATCTTAGGTTTTGTGCAGATGACTACATGTTTCGGACCCAGAGGAACCCTCTTTCTTCCACAGAAACCCTACTTGACTGATGGAACACTGCGTGAACAGGTTGGTCTTTTACGATGACTTCAACGCACACGTCTCTTTGGAACTCATAACTTCTCCAATTATTAACAGACAGAACCACGTTTCATGTTGAAATCTGCACCATGTTGCTCCAACCGCTATCATTTGTTTAAAAATAAAAAAAAATAACTAATGGTTTCCCTGAACCCTTCCCCTCAACAGGTGATCTACCCCCTGAAAGATATTTACCCAGCATCAGGTAGTTTTTTCTTATATAATTTGCTCTTAAAACATTTTATCTTGATATGCATATGTAACCTTTTCCTGTTGACTCATCATATCTGTAAGAAAATAAACCATTTCAGAAAATCATTTTCAGGGTCAGTGGATGATGACAGGATTATCCAGTTCCTGGAGCTAGCTGGAGTGGTGGGTACCAGTCATGAGAAGACTTCAAACTAATCTTATGAAATCACTCACATTTTTTGCATGTTAACGCTGAATCCAATGTGATGTGTGTCGCAGTCCAGTCTCCTGAAAAGGACCGGAGGGCTGGATGAAAAAGTGGACTGGAACTGGTACGTACAAAAACACAAAGCGGTGCTGACAAAAAATAGTCCAGTTCTGTACCTGCTGGTGCTTTTTTCCTCCCCTGCAGGTATGACGTTCTGTCTCCAGGTGAAATGCAGCGCCTCTGCTTTGCACGACTCTTCTACCTGCAGCCAAAATATGCCGGTGCGTTTCTTTAAGTCAAATACTCAATAGGGCTTTGATCATGTAGACATTCAGATGTAGGGGGATACCGTCCAAACTGCTGCTTGATTGATCTTTTTTTGTCTTCATCCATTAGTATTAGATGAGGCCACCAGCGCTTTGACGGAGGAAGCAGAAGCACAGCTGTACAGAACCTGTAAACAGCTGGGCATGACGTTGATCAGTCTGGGGCACCGAAGCAGCCTGGAGAAGGTATGCCCAAAGCTGCACCCTATTTGTCTTATTGGATCATTCCCTTTGCTTTGTTCTCAAATCTACTCCCCAGCTCCTAAAAAGCTTTGAACTTTTTTTCTTTTTTTGTTCTCAGTTCCACGACGTCCAGCTGAAGCTATGTGGAGGAGGTCGATGGGAGTTAACCAAGATAAAAGGAACCAGCGGGAATCCCGGCCTCAGAGAAGAAGTCATGTGACGGCGCTGACATGCGGGAAGCATTGGGATGGGAGATGGAAATACACTCAGTTCATCAGCTGGTATCATTCAAGCCCTGCTGAGAACCCTTTTAGCTGAGTCAGGCAGGATTCTGGTTCAGCCAGCAGACACTTAAAAATGAACATCTATTTGGACACGTGACGGTCAGAAACTCAGACATCAAGTCGACTGTCGGGTTAGTTGAAATGAAAGAACAGTTTATTTTAACGTTTACAGTTGTAGCGTTGCATGATTGAAACTGTTAAAGTACACATTCATCACAAAACAGGATGTTCTCGGTTAAAGACAGCGTTTATCTGTGGATTACACACATAATTCTAAACCATTTAAAAACCAGATTGTAAAAAAATGTTCATATACTAATCAGCCATAACATAACGACCACTGACAGGCAAAGTGAAGAACACACTCATCCTCTTGATCATATAAAATGTTCCGCTAGGAAAACCTGCAGCCTGGGAATTCTATGGATTATGCGGGAAGCAGGCCCACTGCACAGTTCTATCATAAGTCACTCCAGGACAGATGTACTTTGACCGCGCCTTGACCGGCAGGATGAGGAGCACACACCAATATAATTTGGTCATTAAAAATGTTTTTCTACAAAGGCACAAGTGTGGTTAATGGGTGCTGAAGGTAAAATGCAGATAAGCTTCCATTCCTCTTTAGATTGGATTCAGGGAGTTTTTCTACAACTGTCCTTTACTTAAGAGCTCCTGGTGGCCTTGGATAATCTCTTGAACTGCTGTGGGATCGTCCAACGTGCTCAGGTCACCCAAACTGTCCAGGTCGCTCTCCACCACTTTGCGCAGCACCCGGCGCATTATCTTCCCCGAGCGCGTCTTCGGCAGGCGCTTCACAAACTGCGACGCACCAAAAGACATTACCAAGTCTCAGTGAAAGTCAGCTTCGCATGGGAATGCAATGTTCGTATTCATGGGATAAATTTACCTGAATCAAGTCTGGACTGGCGTATTTTGCTATCTTTTCAGATACAATACTTTTAAGCTCCTTGGACAATTCGGCCTCGGGTACGTTCACGTCCTTTTTCAGCACCACAAAGGCGTACACAGCTGAGAGAGAGAGAATTATGCCTGCACGTATAAAAACTGCAGAACACACTTTTTGGCGTGCAGAAAGCCTACCTTCTCCTTTGATGCTGTGTGAATATCCGATGACGGCAGATTCAGCCACTGCCGGGCACTGATTCTGTCACAGAGATCGCATGTTTGGTTAATGGCAGGATTAGCAAAAAAATTAATACTAATGTCTACTCTTCAGAACAGTTTCAGGAAAACTACTAAAATGACAACAACTCTTACACTGCAAAGATTTTCAAAGATCTATTCATTCAAAATATATTTTTCCCAGTTTAAGCTAATTATAATCAAATTTAAGGTGGAATTTCATTATTTTTTTTATTTTTTTTCAAACAAATGAAAAAAGGGTGTCTGGTCATATGCGATATTTGAGTAGATGAATTTACCACCACATCCTCTATCTCAGCTGTCCCAATCCTGTGTCCGCTCACGTTTATGACATCATCCAGCCGTCCTGTGATCTGATAGTATCCCTCCTTAGAGCGATAAGCACCATCCCCAGTAAAGAAATAGCCTGCAATATCAGAGCAGATGTACAGGGATTTAGTTGTTTTGTTTTGTTCTCATGGAAAAAAAACAGAGGGAAGTGAGAGAGAAAAACTGAAAACAAAGGCGGTGTGCGTCTGTACCAGGATACGGCCGGAAGTAGGTCTCAATGAACCTTTGGTGGTCGTTGTGAATCGTTCTGGCCATGCCGGGCCAAGGCTGAGCCATACACAGAGCTCCAGATGTGTTGTTGGTAGTCAGCACTTTACCCTGGAGAGTCAAAATATCACAACGAGTAGTCAGAGTCTGAGTCACGAAATCTGTGCTCGTCAGTCCCCAGATTGAACAATCCGGGGTGTATGTGAGATACGGTACAATTAAAAGCACCGAAGCTCCCCCAATGTGTGTGTGTGTGTTTTTATCTTGCGAGAGGGAGAAACATCAGCTCAGTGACATCAGCCCAACTGTCTGCACAATCTGTGCATCACAAAAGCAAACCGAAATGGCAACAAATTAGTGGGACAGATTTTGTGAGGGGGGCTTTGCACGCACAGAGCCGGACTGGCAGATGAGAGCACGGTGGGTATCAAAAGTGACACAGCTGCTGGCTGTTTCGTAATCCTAATCTGTCCCTCTCACAGGGGTAAAGCAAACACAGACACGGCCAAGCACCTTACCTCAGCATCCATGAGCACCGGCTTAATGCCAAAGAAGGGCCTCATAGCCATTCCAGGGACGATCTCGGCATCTGGCTCCGATGGTTTTGGGGCGATGCATATGCCACCCGTCTCTGAGGGCACACAGAACAACAAGACAAACACACTTCACATTATTTAGAACAACAGTGTATCCACAAAGCTAACAGGCTTCTGCGGGTCTAGTCATGATAAAACCGGAAAGCAGTTCTCTAAATCAGACAGATTAAAATAGCCAGCAGATAACTGGAAATCAGATTTTTTTAGATTTAAAAATACATGGGTGAAAGGTCAAAACTACAGTAATGCAGACATTTTTTGATCAAACAACTTTTCTTTACACATAGACAGGAAAAGTTGTATCTGTTATCTGTCTAAAGGGGGCTGTGTAGGATAAAAATACAGCGAACAGGAACAAAGGTAAAGCATGGGAAAGGCCGTGTCAACAGTTTGTGAGTCCCAGCATAAGCCTTTCTCATGACTCCAGATGCAGATTGTGGAATTACAGCCATACTAAGTAAATTAATTGTTATTATGTCTACCACGTCCTCGGGGGCTCTCATAATCCGCCTGGTGGTGTTAGTGGCACCAGTGCTGGAAACAGCAGACCCGTTATAAAGTAGGACACAGCAGATGATCTCACAATAGCATTAGGGGCTGGCATCCCTGTAACACAACCCTCAACTGTGAGAGGGCCCTTCCAGGGATGGGTTCTCACTCTTTAAACAGGCCTAGGAGATCACTTTTTAGTACGACTTTCCATCACCTGTTGATGCTGACCTCCAGCAGGAGGGCTGTTGTCTTAAAATCAACTGAGACTGGCGGGGGGGAAACCACTCACACGGCTTACACATTCAATTTTCTCCTCCTTTTGTCCCAATTTAAACCTCCCTCCTTTTCATCCCTGTCCTCATTCATCCTTTCACCTCTCCTGCTCTTGATTATCCAATGGGGGCATTTTGCCAGCAGTGGATCAAAACCTAGTTTTCCTTCTAAACAGGCTACTTGCATCCAGATTAACCAAATGGCCTTTATGAATAATGCCACTTAGTCCTAATTGAAAACATTAGTCCGTCAAAATAACACAGCATAATCCTTTTTTGCAGGAGTCAGATATTTGGGTCATATCTGTGTCTGTAATTCTCCTGCTCATGATGCTCTAATGTTTAATTATAATCAATTAATTATAGATTTTTGCCATTCGTAAGGTAATTACCACGGCTTTGTTCCCTTTTTCGGTACTCAGTCTGATTAAGATGGACAGAGGTTAGACAAATAGTGTCGGTCAAGTCCAGTGTTCGTCCGCAAAATTGAGGTTATTAGTAAAAATCAGATGATATCCCACATTGTGAGGCCATGTCTGTGGGGGTAAGGGACCAGCTTGCTGGGGTTTTTGCTTCATCCCTTTGAGAAATAATCAAAATGATAACTGATGAAGACGGCTAAAGCATGTTTCTACATTCCAATTAAAGTCTGTGCAGCTCACAATGAGTCACTTTGTTACACCATCATCATCCTGCTGTTGAAATCCATCCAACCGATGCCCCTCAGCAAAAAAGGGGAAATGTCTGAAAAACGCTTCACCCTGGGTTTTCCTCAGAGAAAACTATCAAAGATTGGATTTTGCACTTAGACTCAGCTCTTTCCTCTGGCTGCCTGCCCCGCTCGGATGTTTGACTCCTCGACAACAAAACATCTGGTTTCCCTCTCAAGTCTGCAGTGGACACACAGCCACACACACCCAAGGCCATGAACGTTATGCAAGAGTGATTAAAGGCATGGCTCTAACACTGCTCTCCCCTTTAAGAAGGACTGTTTGAATGCAGACGTGGCTGTTTTTGGGGGAGAGTTCATGAACCCGATTTCCCCTTATGCAGGGATTGTGAACAGCTACAAGGTGCTCTTTAAAACTCATAACATCACGGATTACAGCAAATTTAACACAAGGCAAAAAAAAAAATCTACTGACAAGCGCCTCCCAGGGAACAGATGTCACATTCACACAATGATGTTGGCTGAGGATTTGGCCCAATTCTGCACACAGGAAGACAATGCTGCCGAACACCGTTGCTGTATTACAAGTCTTTATAAAGTACAGATTGATCAACTGTCATTCTAAAAGTAAAATGCTCTTTTAGAGTCATTAAAATCCCCTTTCTCAGAGTATTCACAGTTACCTGTTTGCCACCAGGTGTCAACCACAGGACAGCGGCCCTCCCCGACCACCCGGTGGTACCACTCCCACGCCTCGGTGTTGATCGGCTCCCCCACTGCAGAAGAATGGTGGCTTTTAATCATACTAATATATATCATATTAATCATATATATATATATTGGCTGGAAGAGGGACCTTTCTGTAGTACAAGTTTTTTTTTATTCTACTTAAGGGAACAATTATTCTCTTGCAAGAAAGTACTTTTTTTTTTCAAGTATTACGCTGTAATGCACACCAGCTCATTTTAAAGAAAAAAGTCTACTGACCACGTCTTAGAATTAGATAGTCTCATTACATCTAAAAAAGAAAAAAAATCCAGTAATCTACAGAGGGAAAGATTATAAACAAGTGGAAAACATTGAGGACATCTGCAAATATTACCGGGAGTAGAAGTCCCAACAGGATCAGTTTAAGGTCACACCATAAAAAAAGAAAAAAAACAGCAGAAGAAAATCCAACAGCTACATGTCAAACTCTTAAGGCCTCAGTTAAAAATGTGCATTCCAAACATGACAAACAGAGAAAACGTGAACAGGCAGAGCTTGTCTGGCTGCACTGCCCGTGCCTCAAAGCTTGCCTAAAAACGTGGCTACGACATGGAACAGAATAGTGATCTCAAATTTCTCAGCTCATCCACAGAATGGCTGAAAAGCTGAGGAAAACTACCATGATGTTGCAATGCTCCAGTCAAAGTTCAGAGCCACGCCTGAATTGAATCCTGTAGCTCCTTGTGAGAGCTGTGCACAAATACCTGCAAAGCTCAATGAAATGAATCCTTGTTTCTAGGTGAGTGGGCCAAAATACCCCCCCCCCCCGAAAAAAAAGTGAGAGAATGATAATGCCACCGAGATAAGTAACAGGCTCAGATTGATATCATCATCTGAGAGCAATAGAACAAAAGTCCCTATTGATTGAATATCAATAACTGATTCCTTACTACAAAGAAAAAAAGGGGCAAAGTTGAAAAATCACAAGTTTTTTTCCCCCTTGGGCTACTCTAGGCAGTCAAACAGAGTTTCTGACGTTGTAGTTGCTTCATCCTCTGCTGCTCGTGACTGTGGCCACTGTTTGCCTGTCATTTAACTTGATGTGTGTGTCCTCTCATGTGAGGAATTCGCTGCATGACTCCTCACTACTAGACAAAAACCAATCAGAGTGCAGTCCAATATTGTGCCTTTGCACATGTGGGTGCAGAGCCCTGGTTTACGGGATACACTGATTCTGTCATGGAGGCATAAATAATAGAAGTAGAAAAGGAGCAGGCAGACTACTAAAAAAAGCCACTTAAGCTGGATATAAATGAACTTGAATTGTATGACAGTCTCAAATTTAGCTTTCAGTGAGACAGCAGAGCTCAATGGCTAAAACCCCTATGCTGATCAGCATCTATTTTAACCCAAGTGCACAAGGAAAGATGTGAAGGTGAGGATAAATATGGCTGAGTCGGACATGTTATTTTAAGAGAGAATGGTGGGCTGTAATTAAACAGGGGAGGAGTTTCAACATTCTGTGGAAAGCTGACGTGTGACAGCACAGGTGGATTTTTTATGGATAATATGGTCAACTTATGGCAGAAAAAAAAAAGCCTCTGATTTCAGAGTTTCACGTACCAGAGCCGAGAGTTTTGAGGCTGGATCGGTCGTATTTGTTCACCCACTGGTCTCCGTACCGAAGCAGCAGGCGTATTGCCGTGGGGGCGCCGTAGAACTGGTTAATCTTAAGCCTCTCCACCATGTCCCAGTACCTGCCTGCGGACGAGGCCAAGTGTTGATGTTAAAACAGCCCAGACATTTGGACTGTAAACATCGTGTCACGGACAGCTTATATAACATTATTTTGAGCTCAGTGGAACCGGGCCGTGACGCTGCCCTTCATACCTGGGTCGGGATAAACGGGAGTGCTCTCAAACAGGACGGTGGTGGCCCCGTTAGCCAGGGGGCCGTAGACCGTGTAACTGTGTCCAGTTATCCAGCCGATGTCCGCCACGCAGCCAAACACGTCGCCGTCCTGGTAGCTGAAGACATACTGGAGACGGGAGGGATCAGATGAGAGGCGAGGACATTACATAAAACCAGTCTTAAGACTCGGAGTGCGTCCCGCTGGCAGGCGGGGGCTCGTGATGGATGTAAATGTTCCACCTGTGGGTTGTGCTCACCCTGTGAGTGAGAGCGGCGTACAGCAGGTACCCGGCCTGAGTGTGGACCAGACCTTTGGGCTTTCCTGTGCTGCCTGACGTGTAAAGCAGGAACAAGATGTCCTCGCTGCTCATAGCGGCCGGCTCACACACCACGTCCTCCTTCAGCATCTCCTGCAGCACCCAGAGAGTCAACAAAACCCTTCTGAAGAAACACACTAAAGAACACACCTCAGGGCTGACATCACTCATCACTCTGTGAAAGCTCCAGAACAGCAAACTCATGCATCTCATTGCAATTGTACAAATTTTGAGCTTTTAACGAAAAAAAAAAAAAAGGATACATTGACAATTTGGTCGGGTTACTTTGAGCTGTTTTAGATACTGTTCAGCACAAACGCCAAGCTGATATCTGAAATTGGATTGGACTGGCTGTCTGCTCTCTCACCTCCTCCATGGCAACGTCCCTGGCCGTCATGGTGACCGGTTTCTCTGTCCTCATGGCAACAAACACCTGTTGCACTGTTGGACAGCTCTGCACTGCCGCGTCCACCGTCTTCTTCAGCTCCGTGACCTTTCCCCCCCTAACTCCCTGGTTCACTGTTATGACCGTGCTGGACTGAGCTATGCGTGGGATGCAGATGAGAGTGAAAGGAAAAGTTATCAGCATTATTATAACTTTCCTCTCACTGAATAAAAAAAAAAAAGAAAAAGTAATGACTAACTGTTTCACCAACAATCTGCCTGTTCATCAGAGAAAGTCCCAACAAACAACACGAAAACTATTTGGAGACGTTCAATGACTTATAGCTGGGAAGCCAACTATGAATCTCCATGTTTATCCATGTTCTAGCAGCGTGTGGGAATATTTACGCCGGTCTCACCATCTCTGATCCGCTCTGCCAGGGCCTCTGCACTGAAGCCCGCAAACACCACGTTGTGGGCAGCCCCGATCCGGGCGCAGGCCAGCATGGACGCCACGGCCAGAGGACAGGTGGGCATGTAGATGGTGACGCAGTCCCCTTTCTTCACGCCACGCCGCCGTAGCAGGTTTCCCACGCGGCAGGTCATCTCCAGCAGCTCTCTGCAAAGAGGGTTTTAAACGGCTGGAGTAGGAAATAACTTATAACCACATGCACTGACTTATGGCTACTGACCTGTAGGTGTACCTGACCTCTGACCCCCTCTCGTCTCTCTCCCAGATCAGGGCCACTCTCTCTGGGCAGGTGTGCACGTGGCGGTCCAAGCAGTTCACTGCAGGAACACAAAAAAGAGATGTGAATGCCATTTACTGACCCGCGTCGGCCCGTGGTGCGTTTGATGGGGCACTGTTCTGACGTTTGGGGAAAGATCAGCGTAAAGACGCACGCAGGGGCAGAGCCAATTCAGAGCCGAATCACCTGAGCGACCTGAGAGAGAGTCTCACCGGACACGTTCAGCTCCCCGTCCTCGAACCACTTAATCCTCCCCCGGCTCAGGTCGCAGTCGCGCACGGTGCGGAAGGGCCGGCTCCAGCTCAGCCTGTGGCGGGCCGCGGCGGCCCAGAAGCTGTCGCCGTCGGAGAGGGAGAAGTCCTGCAGGGCGGCGCGGCCCGACACCCCCCCGAAGCCCGCCGCCTCCGGCATGAACGCCGCCGTGTTGCTGCCGCTGCGGCGCAAAACGCAGAGCCGAGACGCCCAGACCCCGCGGCCCGCCGCTGCGCATTTAGCGGGAAGCCACATCGCGTTAACCCAGGAGCTCAGTTCCGCACAAGCGACGCGCCCGGGATCATTTCCAACAGTTTGATGAGCTGTGTTGCGGCGTTTCGGACTTGCCCCGCTCCTCAGTCGCGAAGTAGAAAACTTGGAAATCCCAGAGAGGAAGGGCTTGAGAAGTGATGCGTTAAAGGGCGGTTCCAAGCGATATATCTGCCGACAGTTTTTGTTGTTGTTGTTGTTGTTGTTCTTGGAAAGCACGCAGCAGCTGACTTAACGGAAGCAGCGAAAGAGAAGATTTATGTTTGTGCTAAGTTTAGCTTGTTCAATTTGCCCTGAACACCCCTACACGCTTAACTTTGACTATTTTCCAAATACTTAGCCCGAGGTCTTTGTGACCGGTTAACTCTTACGGGGAACAGGAACAAGGGGTTAATTATGCACGGGTTACGCACAAAGTCCACACTTTATCCTTGAAATCTGTTAATATTGATGGTGTTTTGTGTTAAGGTTTATTACGGTATTTAAAACTGGCCCGAGGCAAAGTCCAACGTCATTTTTATGGGGAAGAACAGGCTGAAGCACTTCAGACGCGCTCGGGAGCCGTTACGTTATCTCCAGTTGTCAAACATCAACCCAGGGTGGGTGTAGGGACATCTGTCAGCGCCTGATCTCCCGCCAGCCTAAAGGGGAAACCAGTGGTCTCCCCACCAACTGTAGCCTGCATCAGACAGAGATGATCCAAACCTTCAAACAGCAGAAAGTAGCTGCTTGCGACGTGAAGAAACCGTGTATTCATGTCTGTAGGAGAGCGCCAAGACTCTCTGCTACCAACGGTTTTACTTGGGGCCCATGTGGGCCACAAAGAACTCAACAATGGCCCCATGTGGGATTGTTCAATATTCCTTATGGGTCCCGCCAAGTGGGCCCCAGATAAGATGCCCATTCATCCTATTCACAGAGCGCTCATGACCAATCTGAGTAGCTCTCATTGGGCCAATATGGAAGCCATGAAAAATCACATCTGGGGGACAAACTTTTGTGCTCATTTGTGACCCTCATGGGCCCCCGACACTGCCTGGCTCTCCCTTTGTGTACCCCGTGATACATCTAGGGGGAAAAAGATGGTGAAAGGAGAATTACATTTGGAGAGTGTTCAGTAAGGTTCATATTTCGAAAAGTATTTTTTTAATTGAAAAATTCAACAGTTGAACAAAGGTTGACCCAAAAAAAAGAATTTGGTCTTTGTTTCAGTTTCTCAGAGATGACTTTTATTCTTTGAGAAATGTTTTCTCCAGGCTCTCATGTTTCTAAGATTTATAAGACCTACAACAAAAGGTAATTAGCTTTTGTCTCCCACCACAGATCACATGGCCCTCTGGTTAGGCCCATTTGGCTTTCATTTTTGCTTTTGAGCATTTTCTGCTTCCATGGCATGCTGCTTAGGATTTAGTTTTTGTCTACAAAGCACGACGGGAAGTGTCCATGTGAAATGTGTTTTTGGTGAAATGAGAGTGTGTCTGAATGACTTTTGCTGTGGTGACTTCTGTACTGACAGGCCTTTTTGCAAATGATGTGATATGATATCAGCTCTCTTTCTTTTCAGACTCTAAAATAATGGTCTATGGACCAGGGCCCGTGCATACCAATCCAGGTAGTTGTTCACAGGTAATAAGCATCCAGTGAGTTCATACACATGAAAATAAATATAAACAAGGTTTTTCAGAGAATCCTGCAGCATCTCTTTTAAGCATTACACCAACTTTTTTCCATTTTTTGATTTTCAGACAGAAAAATCCTCAAGACGTCTGTCTGAAAGCCCCAGCAGACCGAGCTCATCCTCACAAATGTAGGACCTCAAACCATCCAACACTTCCTGAGCAGGTAGGGGATAAAGCCCTCCTCCAGTAAGGAAAGTTTAGCACTCATTTAGCATTCAGTTGAAAGTTGTCTAAACAAACTTAAAAACATGTCATTCTGGGATGTTATTTTTTGATAAGGTAATGACATCTACATTTTAGTCTTTTGCAAGTTGGATGTTTGCACATTTTTGTGGCCACGAGAGTGCAGAAAACCTTTATGGAATAAAGCTGCAAACTGACGCAGATCTTCAGTAGACTTTTGGTTGACTGCAGACATCTGGATGTTCAGACCATGTTCCTGCACAGTTTGAGATGATACAGGGTCTTTTTCACTGACAGGCTGTTTAGATTCAGTGGGTGTTTTCATATCCCGAAAAATTGTTGACGATTAAGACAAATTAACCAAATTTGGCCCCAAAACGGTTTTTATGCCGTTCATGCTGCCACAAGGGGGCAGCATTCTGAGAAGGTAAATGTTCCTATATGAAAACCCAAACTCCTAGAAAGCATACAAACATTCTCTCACTTTTAATTCTATTTTTTTCTAATATCATATATCATTTAATATATGTAAACCCACCTCTTGGGCTAAGAGTGGTCCTCTCCTTATCCCAAAAGAACTGTCATTGTGCTTTGGTACCCATACTGCAGTCTTTTTGGTCCAGTTGTCGACCTTTCAGCCATCTAAGCAATTTTTACACCATCTCCAAGGAGAAATCTGACCCTGTATTCATCACACATCCATCAGCTTGCCAGCTGTCACTTAGTTTTCCATTTAAATTTTAAGTCAATCAAGCAAAACCCACAAAAATCTTTCCAACTAAAATATTATCCTGTGAGACAATGACCCCAGCACATCACAGCCCAGCACTGTTGTTTCTCCAGTGGAGTTTTGCACTGACAGTCTTTGTGTGCATGGATGAAAGTCTATGATTCAGCGTTATTATTATTTGAATTTACAGTTAGAGGGCTCAGCCATCTAACTATAAATATTTGTAAGTGGTCTGTAGCCTGAAATTGCCATCTCATTTAATGATGGGCTCAATAGAACAACTATTTGCCCAACTCACTAACATCTGAATTTGGTTTGAGGATCTTGGACCTTCAACATTGGTACATTGATTGTAGACTCGTAGGGGAATTTTGTGTCCAGCTCACACACATCACTGTGCACAGGCATGCTCAGCAGGCAACATTTTGAATTTTTAAATACATTCAACTTTTAATTAGACTACAGTTACATTTATACAGAGACAAACAAATAACTGATGTTAACTTTACATCACAGAACATTATTAACAACTGGACACTTCTAGTGTGTACGCTTCTCCATTCATATTTGATCAGAGTTTGGTACTAACCGTTTGTAGTAGTACAACTGAGACTTGTCATCATCCAGAGGTTGAAAGTCATAGAAAGCTCCATATTTGTTAACAGACTGATATAGTTTTTCTCTGCATTAAAAAAAAGCTGCCATCTCAGAGGATCTATAAATTGAACCATGGTTTTATAAGAAGTGTAATGTCCGCTTTGTGTGATGTCTGGGAGACATTTCTGCTCAGCCTCCTGACATGAGGAGATCAGATTCAAAAGTTTCAAGGAGCAGAATTGTAATTATTTGAATTAATGAGCCTCCGTCATGGGACTCAAATAGCAGATGTTACCTGGCAGGTAAGTCCCAGGAGCAGGTTAGAGATACAGCAGGAGGTTGTCAGTTTGTTGGTGACATACGCAACCAGCCGCGCTTCATCCAGCTGCCTGTGGGAGCTGTTACACACTCCCCTCTGCAGCTCTTTCTCTATCAGTCTGCATCCTTTTTCAGTTGCTCTTCTCCCCATCTGCCGTCTCCTCATCCGTCCCCTGATCCTCAGCCTCCCCTCTCTGTCTCGAGGTGCTGTGTGCTCTTTCCAAAACGGTCCCGAGCATTTTGGCGCTGTGCTCCAGCGCCTTTGCTCGCAGCACAGCTATACTGTTTTCCCTAAGTTCCTCTTTAGAAATGGATGAACTACTGTCTTTACTTTGTCGCTGTTTCTCCTCCTCCATTGTTTGGTCCCCCATCTTCTCCTGCGCTGGCGGCGGCGGGAGGCCGCTGGGCTTTCCCGGAGAGGTGTGAGTAGTTTCCACTGATTTCTTGTGCATACCTGGAAAGGAAAGAATCCATGCGGTTTTTCAGACTGGATGCGCTAAGATAAGAACATTTTATACCGTCATTTGAGGGGCTTCACATGAGAAAAAGTGTGAAATGGGATAAAAGCCAAGGGGGACCAATAGGTGAACTGGAGCTCTCATTCAATTAGTTAGCTAATTGATTCAAGCAAATCAATTGACACGAGGTGAGACAGGAGATCTGGACTAATCTGCCCTGATGAAGTGGGATTATCACTGTATTGACTGCAACATTTTACCGATATGCTGATTGCCTTATTGAGCCCTTTATGAGACGGGGTTACCCCTCACCGACGGGCAGAATACAACTTAGTCTTTACAAACACACAGTGGCTGTAATCAGAGGGAGTTCAAATGAATTCAGAAGTGTCCAAAGACATCTGTTAGTTCATTTTCCTGAAAATCCACATGATGTGGCACCCTCTGGTGACACTGGGGTGTAAATGACACTTAATACTTTCATTTATATTCAACATTTACAGAAGAAATACCCTAACAGGACAGGTCATTCCTTGTGTCACTGTCACAGTAAAGATCTGTACTCTTACACCCACTTACCCAGTAACCACGGAGCATAAGACTCTGTGATGCCATCCTTTGCTGACTTGAGGATGGACTCTGGCAGCGGGATGGAGTGGCGGACCATGGCCCCATACAAGCCGTATTCTGCCATCACACTGCTGCGGCCCCAACACTTCTCCCTCTTCCTCCACTTGGCCCTGCGGTTTTGAAACCACACCTGCACACAATGAAATTAATTATTCAGAATCAGAATAAAAAATACTCTAATAATCCCAGAGGGAAATTATTTAAATTATTCTACACCTTATTACATTCAACCGTAGTTATCAAATAACAGCTACTTTTTTTCATATGTATATTTTGAATGGAAGACACAAACATTTATTTAATATTAATTTCAGTAAGCGTAAGCTGCTTGCATCCTCTCCATGGTGCACCCGCCTCTCTGGGCAAAAGGCTGTCGCCCTGATTTAGATTCATGAGGCTGAACGCCTGATTTCACTTTAGTTAAAGTAAACATCACCAGTTTTTCCATTAAAGGGAAAAATAAGCCTATAAATTATTTATTCTACTTAACCCAAGAAATAAAAAAATATTACTCTTTGAACTAAAGAAATGTTTTGCCTGTTTTGAGATGAAGTGTGGCCAGGAGAGTCTTACAACAGGTTGATGCAAAAGGGATTTTAATGGATGTGCACGAGCAGATTTCTTTTTTACTAATTTCTGTTACGATTTAAAGGAGTAGATTTTAGGAGCTAAAACGGCAAGGTGGCATGTCGACCAGATTTTTTGGGAGGAAAATGAAAATGACTGGATCTATATATTTTAAAACACAACCAATAGGAACACTTGTCACAGTTTCAGACTGCATTGGTTTTAAAGGACTCTAATGTAGATATAACACCAGTCCTGGGTGTGAGTTTGTCACATTTATATTTGATTGCATCATCGTTAGAATACATATCAGCAGTTTGAGCATGAAGCCTCTGGCTGCTCAATTGTCTAAATTGATTTCCACCTCCTTGTTATAGTCTTGTGAATATGGATGAGCAGGGGGGAAAAGACCATCTTAAAATGGCCGTAGATCAGGATGTGATTGGAAGGACTGCTGTCTTTGTGCGTGTGTGTGTGTTTGTGTGTGTGTGTGTGTGTGTGTGTGTGTGTGTGTGTGTGTGTGTGTGTGTGTGTGTGTGTGTGTGTGTGTGCGCGTGGGAGAGAGAGAGTGTGAGCGCTTGTGATCGTGCAGACCTGGAATTAAAAACGATCAAAATCAGACGTGGAAAGCCATTCAGGTACATCTGACGACAGCCTCCATCTCATAAAAAGATTGGCCCCGGATGAGCAATCAAGTTTATTTTTTTCTTTCTTTCTTTTTTTGAGAGCAGGGGTGTGAGTGTGCATGACAGGGTGTGTTGCTCTGCCTGCCGTGAGAGGAGGTGACCTGGGGGGAGGAGGATGGAGGCGAAGAGTCTGATTGAAAAATAAGTTAATTTCCAGGCCTGGTCGAAGGCAGACAGCCGCTCAAATATCACGGGAAATTAAAACCCTCGCCCCGGCCCTCTGCTCAGCCACTGACCTCTAATTAATTTCTGGGTAGTTATCGTTTCATTTCAGAGATGCGGCCTGCCTCTCCCAGAGTGAGACGCCATCACTTCTCCTCTATGAGCTCATTACAGTGTGAGGCTGAATAGGCTGTTAACAAGGAAGCTACCTGTTCATTTCATTAGAATTCTGCCTTTATCTGAGAGCGACCCAACTCTGAGTTCATGCTCATACAATCCTGGAAATTACCACGTGCATCCGTACAGCCAAAGCTATAATAAGATATTTCACTTAGAGGAGAAAGCAGGGTTTAAACAGCTTGGCAGAATATGCTGCATCCAGTGGCACACACCTGTATTCTGTCCTCAGGCAGCTCAGTCTTCATGGACAGCATCTCTCTGGCATACACATCTGGATAGTGAGCTTCATTGAAGGCTTTCTCCAACTCCTCCAGCTGATAGGACGTGAAAATGGTTCTGCAAACCCAACAAGACAACTGTCACCCTTCAGTGATTTACTATCCTCTCTTTAAAAATCACTTGTTGTTGTTTATCGCCTGCACATGCATTTTGGTCTGCCAGCAAAATGGTGACGCTTTTACATTCAAATATACCTGGAAAAAACACATAGAGAATGTTTTTTCTTTTCCCTTTCATTCCCCTTACTTTTTGTTTTTTGTCCAATTTAATTCATTAACAATTTCATTGTTTTTTCCTGTTAACATTGCTTTATTCTATTCCATTTATTGTTTGTGTACAGCCTCCTTTCAGGATTTTAGAGATGACATAAAAAAGACACAAAAAGAGACCCTTTTTTTCATGGGTGGCACTTTGAATGACCTCACAATAGATTGTGTGGTGGGCTTCAGATGGGCCATGTGGCTCCACCCCAGAAAATTATTTTTCACCGAATAACCTCTATTCAAAAAACAACCAATCATCAATTTCCAAATATTATCTGGCTAAATTCTTTCTCTTGTTTTAAATTTATTGACCCTTTCGACATGTATTGTAAGCCACCAACAGCTAAAAAAGATGCTGATTTTTAGAGTTCCATAATTGGGTTTAACCAGATCGAAATTATGTTTTCCCCCCCAAAAGAAAACTATTGAAGTGGTTTTGCAGAACAGGATTTGCCCATAAATCCGTTTTTCCCTTTCTGGATTTGGTCTTAGAAATAAGCCACTCCTGTGTTAAATTTCACTTTTAAACAATTATACAAAAGGAACAAATAATTACTAAAACATGTGATGAAAACAGCTCACATGTATCAAATTATACACTGAAATAACCTAACAAACATTGCTCAGAGCTCTCTGTATAAGTGGACCTGAAATCATGATGCGTATAGAGACAATAAAAAGCTTCACATTCTCGTTTTATTGGCGCCTTTACCTGTGCCGCCTTTTTTTTCTTTTCTTGCTCTGACTCATCGCTGATGTGGAGAATTTTTGGTCACCAGAGCTCAGATCATCGGAATCTGTGAAGAACATTGACAAACATAACATAGAAAGTAGAGTTTAAGAAAATAAAGTCTTATGATGAATATAACGAATTAAGGCGCAGGAAAATGCAAGGCCTAATAATTATTTTTAGCACGTTTTCTAAACATAAAATATCTAATATTGGTGTTCAGATTTCTCCTAAATTTAGAATCTGAAAAGGGATAATCTGGATGGGAAAATCTACTGAAATCAACACGTGAAAACAGTTATTTTTTTATGGATTTACAGGGTTCTAATCTGGCCTAATCTGGTCTAATTAAAAAACGAATAATTTTATACATGAGAAATGCCTTGTTATTTTTGAATCACTTGCACTCTTTTCTGTAAAGTCTGACATTTTTACAGCTTTACTGAAGCGGCCTGATTGAATACATCAGCCAAAAAATTCCAATATTGTCCCCTGTGTGCAGTGTTGCTGATCAAAATGATTTTTTCGGAACAGTCACACATCTCCGGTGGCTTTTGGTGCGCCTGAACGTTGGGAGAAAACTCACCGGAGCTGGCTCCGGAGTGCTGCGCGTCCATTTGCGCGTCCAGGCGCACCGCCCTGTGCAGCGGCTGCAGGTGCGCGTTCTGCGCCTCTGACAGCACCTCCAGGAAGGCGGGCTGGCTGTAAAACGAGTGTATTCCCTCCGGCCCCAGCAGACCCATCCCGACCCCGAGCCCCGCGTGTCCCAGCGCGGACCGGGCGGCCAGCACGTGCGCCCGGTGGGGCAGGGCCTCCAGCGGCCGCCGCTGGGGGGCCGCCGCCGGAGGCTCCTTGTTGAGGCCCAGCAGCTCCTGGATCCCAAAGCCGGTGCGCCGCTGCACGGCGGGGGCCATCTTCCAGACCGGAGGAGTGTGATGGGATCCCTCGTGGCTCACGCTGGTTTGGGAAGCTATTTTCTGTTTATTTTCATTATCTGAAAGCGCGACGCCCTCCTTGCCTGTCATGGCGAAATGACTCCGCTGGGTTTTTTTTTCTTTCTCTTCCCTCCCAAAAAAATAAAAGATGCCCCAGCCCCTGGTGGGATGAACGACGTGATGCTCTCTCTTTATCTCTCCCCTCATCTCCGCTGCGCTTTTTATCCAACAGGCAACAGGCGGCAGCCAATCACAGGAGAGGAGAGGCTGCTTGGTTAAGTTTCAGTTGGATCCGTGAAGCTGTTTGAAGCTGATTTCTGCAGCTAAATCTCACAGCCAGCTGAATATTTTCATCTTTATCAAAAAACGTTTTACAAATAAACTGACCTTCAAGTTGAATTAGATTTGAACTGGAAACCAAGAAATATGTTTGGTGTGTACATGTATGTTTAAATGATTCAAGGGAAAATCCACTTGCATTCTGTGTTTGAAATCCAGCAGGTTTATCAGCATATTTGTTGAAAGCACTTATTAAAATTATTTTGGGGGCAGAAATTGATGGAAAGACAACACCAGTAAGAAAAAAAACTAAATGGCCAACATGACCTTAAATTCTTTCTTTTTTGTTTCTATTATTCGAACTGAAACACATCCATTAACGTTGATTCGGATCAGACTTCTCACTGCTACCCTAGTGACCCATTTGGGCTACTTTAAACCCTGGAACACAAAGATGAAAATCTCAAACACCAGCTGATACCTACTCAGTTAATCACCTCATCTTTTCTTTTTTTTTTTTCTTGCTGAAAATCTAATCAAACGGCTTTGGTTTGCAGGCTCCAGCTTCCAGCCCAACGTCCCACATACTCACGGTGTGATTTGCATATTCTAATTAGGTTTGCCCACAGAATGTTTGTCTTTGGAAACTGTCTGTGCATCTGCTGGTCTTTTTTTTTTATTCTTTGATGGGTCACATGATGGAGAAAACAATGTCCCAGTCCGGGGTATTTAGGACACACCGGGGTGGCAATTAAATCCGAGACAAACAGCGGAACAAACGCGGGAGCAGCGTCGAGGCGGATTTATTTACCCTCCCTGAAGTTCAGTCTGATTGTTAGCCTGTGTTCTGAAATAGAAAATAAATATATATACACGGACTAAAAGGTTATGCAATATTTCAACAAGTTAATCCGATTTGGAAAGTGAGAGCGAATGGTAAAGACGTTTGGGATGTCGGTGGGAATAATCTGCGACCGGCCGTCATTAAAACCTCAGCTAGCCACATTGTGAAATGACGTGCAAATACTCTCGTTTTCCCACTTTTACCTCCAACCTAATCTTCTGTGATCAGCCATTATTCAATTATTGCCGAGTTCCAATCGTTCGGAGATAATTTGCGGCACGCTTTTGGGCATCTGGACAGACAATTGCGCGGGGGAGAGTTTATGGAGATGAGGGGACGCGCTGGAAGGAAGCGGGGATGCAGCGGCCACAATGGGACATGTGTGCTGATGAATAAATAAACAAATAGGTGGCCCCCCTGGGACCGTTTGGCACCCGTGCGTCAGGCGGCCGGTGACGAGCACAACAGACCCACCGGTGATGCGTAATCTGTCACACCATAAGAAACACGTGCATGGCGTCAACCCCACCGGGTCCTGTAGGGCTCACGGCCTTTCTGTGAGTACTCAGTTTTCAGTGTAAGATTTATTCATTGAATTCTCAGGCCAAAATGTTTAGGGTCCGAGACAAGTTACTCATGTCACACCTCCCGGAAATAATTCAACACACACACATTATAACACACATGATGTAAAGAACCACAGCTCGAATGACCCTAAGCATCACACGAGAAACGATTTAATCAGAGCTCAATAAAGAGATCCATGCATGCTAATGAGTGCGCGCCACAGGAATACTTCCACCAATCGCGTCCTTTTGCTGGATTAAGGTACGGAAGCCATTTTCATTACCGTCCATCTCGCTTCAATGGAAAGAGAAATGAATTAAATGATCCTGATGTACAGAGAAACCTCGGAGGCTGATACGCGTTTGGGTTAATGATTTTCTTATTATTGTGACCCTTTTTCCAGGGGCACCTTGTTCAGCCTGTGTGCTGCATGTACTAAAGTTAAAGTTGAAGCTCTCATTTTTGTGTTTTTTTTCCAGTTATGTTTATTCGAATTGCAAATTCCCCAAAAATAGCTTTATCTTTTATAAATGTTGTTAGCTTATTAACCAGGAATATCTGTTAGTCTGCTCTTAGATAGATTTAGAGACTTCTTGCTAGACATTGTGGTCCCACTGGAATTTTGTCTTGAGGTCAGCAGAAACTGAAGGGAAATGAATGAAAGTTCCACAGATGAGCACTGAGTGGCACAATTAAAGTTGAATTAGTCTGATGCATAAGCAGAGAGGCAGAAGTTGAGTGGGAGCCACTCAGATTTCAATGGACATCTCCTTTGGAGCAGTAATGTTTCCCCTTGCTGCAGATTTTTAGAATTTAGACATTGCTGAATTATTAGAATTTGTCCCTCATTTATAAACTAATCAACTCATTCGAAATTCAGCCCCAAGGCCTGTATTCTGACACCATGCTGGATTTCTTGGAAACACTGTTGTGTTCCAGGCATTGAGTTGATTCCAGAGAGAAAACAGGAGCAGTGTCTATATTAAGACACTGGGAATGACCTCCATGGAGAAACGAAAACAAAGTGATAAAGCTAACGTAAATGACAACCCCTCCAGCTCAATGTTTGAATCAGAAAAGATTGAGACTGGGTCCGTTTTGTTCTGGTTGAGCTTCTGAACCGTGCCCTTTTGTTAGAGGCTCCACAAATGGCTCCTCTAATCTAGCTAATTGCCATTTCCCAGAGCCCGGCATTTAAGAAGAGGAGCTGGGTCACCAAACAGCCGTTGATCAAAACATCCTATTAGGGTGAAGAAACAAAAAAGCTCTCACAGTCCTAACAATGTGCCACCGGTGATTCAACAGTTTTCTCTGGGCGCACAAAGCATTAATTAGGGCAATAATTTCATGCCACTGCCATTCTATAGTCTCCATTTCTGTTTGAGTGCATCTATTTGTGCTCTGAAGTCTGCCGGCGACTCTGACTTGCCACATTCTCCCGTTGCTTGTGCAGATGTGTTATTGGTGTAATGAGGAAAATACTCTGGGAAAAGTGGGAGAGAGGTCTGCGACGCCAAAACCTCCTTCACAAAGTAATATTCCTCATTGTGGCCGCCTCTAACAAGAGCTGACATAATTACTTGGGCCCGTTTCTTGTCTAATTAGCACACTTCCACAGTGGACAGGGGCTAGCGGTTAGACAGGAGAAGGGAACTGGACAGGCATGGCGTAGAAAGACAAAAAGGGGCCCCCGGTTTCAGCGTAATTAGGTGAGACAATGCCCCGGACTGTTCTGAGCTATGGCAGCGGCTCAGAGCTGGGGCCAAGCCGGCCAGCGGACGCCCCATGAGGTGCAGCTCCCCAAGACCCTAATAAGCCCCTAATTGTCTTTGTTGATTCACATGGGGTAGCACCACCAGACACGAAGGCAGTCTGTGGTGCCCTGCAAACAGCCCCGTCCAGAGAGGGGTTGAGACGTCCGAAAGCCTTTGGGGGCATTGAGCGTTTTCAGCCCCGACTCCAGACAGCCTGTGTTAATGTCCACTGTTAAATCAGCAGAAACAGAGACACGGTCCTGTCTTCCCAGTCGCTTGCAGGTAATGTTTTGTTACTTAGTAGTGCCACTGATATGCTGAAATCAAAGAGAAGCAGGTGGATTTAGCAGCTACTGACCTGTTTGCACAGACATGAAAAAGTGAATGTAGCCGCCCTTTTGGTCCCTGTGGCCTTTCTGGATTTGCTTACTATCTCTACTAAAATCACTGGGGTTTTTCTGTATCACTGTGTTTGCTTGCTGACTATTTTTTACTAATTGGAAATACATTGCAATTTATTTTTCTTCAAATGATTGAATTATCTTTTAAAATACATCCCAAATTTACTAGAGTTGTTGTAGATTATAAAAGGTACACACTGTGCAAGAAATGTTCCTCAATATAAATAATTCCAATTTCTAATGTTTTTAAAAAAAATCATTCTCACACTTCTCTGGCAGATCCAGAGTCTATTTTGCTATGGTATGGATTTATACGTCAGATTCCCTTTCTGATTGAATGAAAACATGCGATAAACAGATGAGCTCTACAGGCTGCATTTCAACTCTGTGGAATGAGTCTATTCAGCTGACACACACACACTCACACACACACACACACACTCCCACTTGTCCAAATGTTCGGGGTCACATTTAATGGCAGGTGGTACTCAGAAAACTCAATATTTCATATTTCAACATCAGCGGCAGTCAAAGCACAGCTCACAGGGCCGTCAGTTCGATGTGCCCTCACTCCTCTAATTAGCTGTCAATTAGGGCAAACAAATCAACTCTTCGCCTAATTAAGCAACGCCACAAGGCAGCTCCCGTATGCAGACCGTCGTGCAGCAGCATGAGAAAAAAACCCCAGCGAGCAAACTCGTTTTGGATCAAAAGTGCAAAGCTCTTATTATTGATCTGTGTGCTGGTGAGTGTGTTTGGGCTTTTTTTTTTTTTTTTACAAGAGGTAACTGTTTTCCTTTGGTTTTGATATAAGCTCTTGTTCAAATGAATGCAGTTAATTTCATTTTCATTTAATTTCATTTTTCAGATTTTCCTAAATGGGTAAATATCTCCTAATTGTTTTACCCAATGAGAGGCCCTTTGAGCCATAATTCAAACGTTGTTTCACATATAATATCATCATGATTGCAGGATGATGTTAGAGTTTAACCAGACTCCACTTTGAAGATCCAAAACAACCTATAGCACTGCTGCTTGAAACATTAAGTAATTTATAGGTTAAAAAGCTCAAATGAACAGAAAAATTCAATTAAAGTCTTCTGAAACATGTATGGAAAGCAGGAGTTATTTCCAGCTAGCAGAGAGGTTTATCTTTCACAAATCAAAGCCCGTCGCAGCACCTGGTGCCTGCAGGCTGACATACGGCGTCTTCCCTCCAAACGACATCAGCTTTTATGTCTCACA